TTTGGAATGGCCAGAACCTACTCGCGTCAAAGGAGTTAGGGCCTTCCTAGGCTTAGGTAATTTCTACCGAAGGTTTATTGAAGACTTCGCAAAAATCATGAGACCGTTGAACGATCTCACCAAAAAGGACCTTGTTTGGCATTGGGGCGCCAAAGAACAGGAAGCTTTTGATAAGCTTAAACAGGCATTTACAACAGCGCCCATATTGGCATTCCCTGAATTAGACAAAGAGTTCCGGCTAGAAACCGACTCTTCTGACTTCGCCACTGGGGCTGTTCTATCCATCAAATGCCCTGATGATCTTTGGAGGCCTTGTGCCTATTTATCGCATAGTTTGTTGCCTACAGAGCGTAACTATCAAATATACGACAAGGAGATGCTGGCCATCATTAGAGCTTTAGAGCACTGGCGGTACTACTTAGAAGGTGCTAGGCACCAATTCGAAATTTGGACCGATCATAAGAACCTAGAGTACTTCATGACGGCCCGAGACCTGAACCGGAGACAGGCCCGCTACGCGGTGTACTTGTCAAGGTTCAATTATAAATTAATTCATAAGCCAGGAAGCTCAATGGGGAAAGCGGATGCTTTATCTAGAAGAGAGGATCATGCCAACGGCATCGAAGATGACAACAAAGGTGTCACCTTGATAGATCAATCAAGGGTCGCCAATGTTAGAATCGGGCAAGATTCCGACCTCCTAGAAGTCTTCAGGAAAGACATCTCCCCAGAGGAAAAGGCGCGCCTTGACGGCAATGAAAACTATTTATGGAAAGACGGGCTCTTTCATTTCAAAAACAAAATCTATGTGCCGGAATCCGCAAGGATCAAGGCAATAGATAGACATCATGACACTCCAGTGGCTGGGCACCCTGGATGGCAACGAACGATGGAGTTGATCTCCAGAAACTACATGTGGCCGGGCATGGTCAAAAACATACAGGAATACATAAAATCCTGTCTGAGATGCGCCATGGCCAAGAATTCCCATCAACCGCCGGCCGGTAAACTCATGCCGAACCCGATACCAGCTGGCCCCTGGCAGGATATATCGGTGGACTTCACGACGGATCTGCCCGAGTCAAACGGGTACGATTCAGTAATGGTGGTAGTAGACCGCTTCTCCAAAGAAGTGGTATTCATACCCACCAACAAAACCATCACCGCCGCCGGTACGGCAGACCTATTTAAGGATTTCGTATGGTCAATCCATGGGTTACCAGAAACGGTAATCTCCGATAGAGGACCGCAATTCGCTAGCGAATTTACGAAAGAATTATGCCGGATGCTGGGCATCAAACCTAAATTATCCACGGCGTTCCATCTGCAAACCGATGGACAAACGGAGAGACTCAACCAGGAGTTGAAACAGTATCTCCGGATATTTATTAACGACAGACAGACAGATTGGGCCAAGTGGCTAAAGATAGCCCAGTTCTCTTATAATATTAAACAGTTGTCGGCTACAGGAAAGGCACCATTCGAGGTTACTAGATCGTACCTCCCCAGAATGGGTGTAGAACCTGGCAAAAGCAAAAACGAGGCTGCTGGGAACATGGCAAAAGACATGAAGTCTGTCTTGGACGAAACGCGCAAGGCGCTATTTAGAACTGCAGAGCAGATGAAAGACAGGGCAGAGCGTAGACGCTCTAAGGCCCCTGACTACAAGGTCGGCGACCTGGTCTGGTTAGATACCGACCACTTAAAATTAAAAGACCGGCAGTCTAGAAAACTGACCGAAAAGTGGATTGGCCCTTACCGGATTAAGGAAGTCAAACCTAATGCGGTGGAGCTGGAACTCCCAAAACGAATGAGGGTGGTACCCACGGTTAACATTAGCCGTGTGAAACCCTACAAAGGACCGCTGCCGGGACAGCGCGTAGACCGGCCCGGTCCGGTGGTAGTCACCCAGGAAGGTGAAGAAGAGTTCGAAGTCGAACGGGTGGTAGATGCACGCTTGAAGCGTGGAAAATTAGAGTTCCTGGTCCTATGGAAGGGCTACGGAGACGAGGACAGAACGTGGGAACCAGAATCCCATCTGGAAAACTCCCGCGACGCTGTTCGCGAATTTTATTCTAGGAATCCCTCAGCTCCCAGGAAGCTTAGAGGCATGGATTCAAACCTTTTTAATTCCCTCTTTCAACCTATGCCCGAAAATTTTACCACTACCTCCGGAATTTGGTCTCGCCTGGAAGTCGAGCCTTAGAAGGGGGGTAGTGTTACGATAACACAATTTCCGGACATCTCCTTTCCTTTTTATTCTCCGCTTTAACTTTATACTTTAAGTGCCACGCGGCATTTCCCTTTCTCGCGCCGCGTTGCCTTTCTTTTACTTTTAGACTTAACTCTCTCACGCAGTAGAGCTGGCCATACGGGCTAGGCCCTATGACATCATCAGCCACTGCCTTCATCAACTGTATAGTACACATGTACAAACAAACCTGTAGTAGTATATATACCCCAATAGATCCAGGAGACTCCTCAGCGAGTCCTCCTGTTGTATACCAACTAACTCACTGCAGCCCAAGGGGTACCCACTCCCCATCTTCCACTACCTTTATAGTGTGTTCCTGTGTGCGCCAGAGTAACTAACTCTTGGTTGTTACACCCTGCAAGCCTCCTCTTAAAACAAGTCCAGAGATTGTTAATAGGGTTTGGGTCACGAGACTATGCAGGCCAAACCATAGTGTGGAATTCTTACTCCTCTAGCCAGTCCTTGACTTTCCTACAGATGTGCTTGGGGTTATTATCTTGCTGAAAGATGATGTGAGGAGGATTAAGACCATAATACTCCAGGGTTTGCTGGAACTCATCCTTCAACATCTGAATGTAAAGGTCCCCATCCATCCTACTATCAATCTTGGTAGCAAATCCAACTCCTTTCCAAGTCATACAGCCCCACATCATTAAGGAACCTCCTCCAAACTTGAGGGTTCCATCTACCAGCCTATCACTAAGCCCCTCACCTGCCCTTTTCCATGCTCATTTTTGTCCATCTGACCCTAGGCAATTGATTTTAGTCTTATCAGACCATATTACTCTTTTTCAGTCCTCCAAAGTCCAATCCTTGTGAGCATAGGCAAAATCTAAACGAGCTTTGCAATGCCCTAGTAGAAAGAAGGGGGTGTTTGGACTTCACCACAGCCTGTATACCAGATTTTTTCAAGTAAAAACAAACAGTATTGGATGAGAGGGGCTGGTTGATGATGCTAGTAAGGGCTTTGGTCACTTGGCCAGCATTTTCAGCTTTGCCAAAGGTAATAAGATGTTGGGCATGTTGCTCTGGGCTGAAGGTAATACACAAAGCAAGGCATTGTTGAAAAATGGTGGAATGTGTGGTCTATGTGGTAGTCAGGGTCTTGTTACATTATAGTCACAACAACTTTGAATTTAAACATGGCTTTACTCAGCAACCATACAAGGGGCATAATTCTGGGAAATCCAAAGGTTTGGGAGTTCAGACTTGGGGGTTTCTGGCTTTTTGGAGGTTTAGGTTTGTTAGCCTGTGGCATGGATGTGAAATGGAGGGAGATTAGGATTTTTCCCTTTACTGAGGAATTTTGTTGTTCACTATGAAAGAATAGCTATATCTATGTAAATTCCTTGGTTAAAATATTAGTCAAGATTTGTGCCATACTACATGCTTTCCAAGTCCTCTAAAAATTGGCTATAGGTGTGCTGATTATTCTTTTTTTAAGTCCCTCACTCAAGGTTTGGGGAATTTGTTATAATACTTTAGTTGTGGTTGCCTTACACAAACCTGTGACAGACATCTGAAGTTAGTACTATTCTTGTTACTACAAGAACCATACACACTACTAATGCCTTGGCAGTTATGAGTTTCTGAAGTCCATACTGACAAAGATACTGTATAAGCCTTTTATCTACTTTTGTTGTGGCCAATGTTGGATATTCGGTCCCTCAGGGCGCAGGAACAGGCATGGGAGAAGGATTCCTTTGGGCAAATGAATGCCGTAATAACGTAAATACATGCTTCTTATATAACAAACATATGTAAATATCATGTGAAAGACAATAATAGCCACAAAAGGCCGGTTGTAATCACAGAGTAAATCTTTGGGCAAAGCTCCGAAGTTTGCTTACATAATATAATTTCTACAGCCAAAGCATGATAAAACTTTAACCTTGTCTAGTACAGTGGACCTTTTGCACTCTAAGTACAAAGACAATAGAAATAATAAGAACAAATAAATAAAGAGGTCAGTCTATGTCTCAGACATCTTATTCCACTTGTTTACTCCAGCAGAATTCCAGCTCTGGCTTTTGCCCAAACCCGTTCTTCTCACATACAGACACATAACAGATTCATGCATAGTCAACAGAATACTGTACTTACTGCAGTCTTTCAAATAGTTCAGCAGGTGGACACTTTGGTGCTAGGTGGATCATAAAAACAGACCCCAAGTCAGAAACATTTACAAGTGATTGCTATATCTCCAACATGGTAGACTGGAAGCCGTTGTTCGTTTTCTGTCTGATTATTATGGAGGCTTCCTCTCAAAAGCGCTTTGTGCGCTAGTTTCAAACTCAGACCGTTGCCGAGTGAGCGGCATGCAATGGATTCCAGTCACCGCGCATTTTCCACGACAGAGTGAGTGAAAACAGGGGGATTCACTTTAGATAGCGATTTGACTAATGGGTTATTGCTGAAAACCTCGGCCGCATCTGTCAGATTGTGTGGGATCCCATCTTGAAGATGCTCTCTCAAAGGAGGATAGCAGCTTGTGGCAATAGGCTTTCAAAATGAAATGATTTGCCGAACATATCGGTTAACCCCTTTTCGCTGGTCCGCGTCGGAACCGTTCAACGAAGTTCGACCGTTGGTTCCGTTTGATACGAGACGCTGAGGGCGCCGAACGGAGTAAAGTCTTGCTCAGATAAGTTTTGCGCTCTTCAAATCGGGTTTTACTACATTCCTATCTTACTAAGAGACTGATGGTAACTGTCGTTCTCTGAGAACTGTTGTACATAGTCATTTAAATATATGCTATGCTGTTATACATGGAGTACGATACTAGTACTCTATTAGTCCATGTCCTGCATGCGGACTTTTCTCTCTAAAAAGGAGGCGACTATCTTGAAGTGCGATACGGGATGGTTTTAAGTACATTCGTTGCGTTCTAGATGATACAGAATGAAGGGGAAAGGGGTAAAGGTCGTCTACTGTTGAGATCCATGAATCGAAAACGCATAGATATCGAGGGCCGCAGGCTCAATCATATCATTCATAATGATGCAGTTTCTTTATTTTCTGATCAAAGAGAATTTCAAGTCAGTATGTATACCTATGATCTCGGGGATAACGAAGCAATTTCTCACCTTGCGTCAAAGTACCGGGATACCTGCTCTTCAGCCAGCCGGACACCCCCCCGACACATTTATGTATCCGCAGCATCCGATCTGACGAGAAAAAGCGCCCACACTTCTGACAGACCCATTCGCATTCCTTCCCGTGCATTGCCACTTCGTGCCTGAGTCGATCATGGGCTCGGGAGAACATCTCTTTGCAGCCGGTCTCCTCTCGCATCGTGCACATGAGAGCTTTTTTGGGTTTGCTGTTGTGCGCGATCATGTGTACACGCCTCGTGTACTCAGAGGTGAATAGACGTTTACAGTTGGGCTCGAGGCATAAGAAGCGCTTTCGTCGGGCTTGACGGGACGATGACCCTTCGGTGCTCGGGCTTGTCTCGGATAAACTCGGGTCTGAAGGCGAGGGAGCGTTGGGTGAAGTAGCTCTGCTGATGGAAGAGGATGATGATGATGGTGGAGGTGTTCTGTGGCCATCGGAGGATGCGAGATTATATGCGCCTGGTGAATGTTGTTGAATGATAGTGGACGATGGTTGGGCTCCGCCAAGGGGTGTAGTATGAACATTAGAAATCATGTTAGCACTTGCATTGCCGCGTTCGGGGTGGAATTGAAGCGAAGAACTTAGTTGAGGCGAGTTCGAAGATGATTGGAAACATTGATCAATGTTCTGAGTAGCTGAAAAGGTCAAGACGCCGTCAATGATCGTCGTACATGATATTTTAATACCCGTACTCACGATTAATTTGTTCTGGTCCAGAGACGCTACACCTTTGATCATGGGTATCGCAAAGATCGACTTCATTGCCGTGATCTTTGAATAACGAAAGAATAATTAAGGATTAGTCGGGACAATAATGAAAATCCAGAAGACGACTAACCACTGGTAGAGGAAAGGCCGGGGTTGTTTTGATGATCGTCTGGGATCATTTGGAGAAAAGGCTCCAAAGATCCAGTGGAGCCATACGTTAAAGAACCATCGAAGGGAAAAGAAGTCATCACGTCATGCGATGGGTAAAGGCCTAGGGTGGAAAACAAGTAGTCCTGCGAAGGATAGGACTCCGAGTTGTCTGCCATCATGGTATCCGTCGGGATTGACGAATTACCTGACTCAACTGACGAGGGTATATGCCGATCGTCATGCGTGCTAGTGGAGAACCGCTCGTGGGGCAATGAAGTACGAGAAGAAGAAGACGAAGAAGCTTGGGGATAGTCCGATGATATCGAAGCCGACACCGAATAACCGTCGCTATCAGAAGAAACGTGAAAGCTTATGCGAAGATTGCCTTGGACTACGACTGGGGATGCATCTGGAAGAGGTGTCATCTTGAAGAAGGGGAAACCCCCAGAGCCACTAAGGCTGACGGAGATACGTGAGCGGGTCAATTCTTCTACTGGAAGTGTTAGAGACATGGGTTCTTCCAGAAACATGCAGTATCAAAAACCCTATTTATCAAGTTGCGGGTGGGCGGAATACAAGATAAGCATGAGCGTATTTCAGTACACCGCCTAGACCGCTCCCCGTGAACAGCGGTGGCACTCAGCAACGAACTGACGAGACTACCATATTGGTCTGAGAACTTCATAGCGATTGGAGAGCTGAATGCAATATAGAGATCAGCCCTGCAATTGATGAATGACGATATTGTAGATATGATGGCACCGGAATGGAATGAAAAGGGTAGTCCGACGAATATGGAAGCAACCGGCGACTCAAATCCGCCAGCTGGGAAATGCTATACGAATTGATCTTTACGCTAGATCGTAAATCCGTTGGAGAGGTGCTGAGATTACTGCTAGCCGAACAAACGAAGGGCATCGCAAGTTGGTAAAACCACAGCACTAGTGGGCGACCCGCAACGACGTGAAACCCACTGCTAGCCGTACTAGCTCGGTGAGCAGTCGAACTGTGCAGATACCGTAATATTTACGTATGATGCAGGCTTGGAAGTTGAATGAACTCAATAGCAGTCTGCTACAGAAACAGAAATTAGCTCTGACGACCTGACGATAGCAACTAGATAACGATATGCTCACCGATGCGGCGGTAGTATGATCCAGTCCGATAACAAGGACAAAATGTTGCCATAATGGAGTTCGGTTTCACGTATCTGAGTTACGATGGATTGGGTCTTGATAGGAGGGCTGACTAGTGGCCACTGCAGATCTGCGCCGGTTAGCTTATGCGACGTTGTCGGCAAGGATGCAGTGCATGAACGTGCATGAACTCTCACTGAGTTGTAGAACAAAAGTCATAAGGCTGTACCTAGCTGAGATCATACTACAGGATCTAGGACCGAGTCGGACTGAGAAGCGCCACCAGATAGGCTTACCCCATATCCTCGCCACGGCCTTGTGGATTTGTGGATTCAAACTTCATCTCCAGATACTATCTATATTACCAACTGTTTCAGGGATCATGAGATGGTTGCTGCCAGTCGGTCGAAGCCGATATTGAGCGCCATGAGCGCTGAGCTACTACAATGCAGTGCACAGTGGAGAGTGTCTGTAAATGCAGAAAGAGGTGGAGTACGAGAGTGACGGCCATTGTAAGGCTGAGGCTCGGGTAAGCCAAATGCGTTTGTGGCTGTTGTGTTATCTCCGCGTATACTGCTAGTAGCACTGTCCACTTGGCTTTGTGGCTCACCGCTATAAACTTAGAATGTGTATTTCTTCCTGTACCTTAACAACTGAATGTCCTGAATCGAGATAAGCCTCGATACCATCGAGCACCCAATCACGAACAGTCGGTCTCTGGGTGGGTACCGAGCCGCAGAGAAGTCGGTTCTTCGCAAGTGCCTCCGTCAAGTCATCCCTTATCAACGTGGACTTGTTCTGATACCCCTGTCAACATGTCAACCCAAAGCATTCATTCCATCTCGTAAAAGTGGTCTTCTAGTGGATCTCAATGTAAATTGTGCCATCCACGACTCGAACAGCAGTGCACCGGGTGAGTTGGAATTGTTCATTGGTGTCTTTGTGGATTAACTACACTGGGAAGCATATCCGGGAGTTTCATCGGAATTCTTGAACTATTTGGGCAGCAAGTACTGGGCCCTCCTTGTCCGTCGCGGTAGCGTAATACCATCAGGTTCTGTCGTCCCTGAAAAACATTGTACACGTGGACTTGTATGTCGCGTATCCTTGGACCTTCAGGCGCCTCGAAGACATTCAGTATCATCGTTCCGATGAGCGAGGTTTCTAGACTCGAAGGCTTTTGCCCTGTCGCATGTGAGGCGTTTAGTGTGCTTCTCTGCGAGTCGGATCTATGATTTATCATTTCGAGAAAGAAAGTGCTACCAATAAATACTCTGCAACATTACTGATGATGATCGCCGATCATTCAATTATACCGTCGCTCACGAATATCCGCCGAACAGTCCAACGCCATCCAACGCTCGAATGAACAAAGAGAATCATTAACAATGTGGCTATATATATCCCATTATCCCATGATAACGAACATATCCTCCTTGGCATCAAACAGTTACATTCTCGTGTGCATCGATGTTATCGGGTGTCGCTTTTATTCTCTACCTTTTCAGTTCCTGGATACTTTTGGGCACAACGCACACACTCTTATTTGTTTTCTGCGTTGGTGTCAAGTTGTCCTCGTCCCCTTGGTTGATACCGAGTCTGGCCAGCCCCAGCATCGATTGCCTTCCCCTGGCGGCTGCAGTGTCTGATAGTGTTATCTATCATTCAGCCTCGCTAATATCTCCATGTAACTGTCCACCTTTCCCCCACCGCGACTGAAAGGAACGTCCAACTTATTGTTGCCAATCTCCAGTATTGATGTGTATCCTAGGCTTTCTCACAACACTCGAACAACCTCCACGTCCCTTATCAATGTCGACTACTGGCGAGCGTCACAATACAAATCATTTATATTAATGGCTATGTTATACCTCACCGGCGGTGGTTTAATCGTGCTGGCACCTGGCATGTGTTTAACGACTTGGAGTATCTGCACATGCCGGTCGGTTTGAGCTAGTGACAGTGGCGTCCAACCATAATAGCTCCCCGAGTTTTACGTCCACGTCATGCCTTGTCAACAACAATCTGATAATCTTCTATCTTCTCATGTTCCTTGTCAACTGCGGAAGAAATTGGAGATTTGTGCTTGGTGTTGGCAAGTACGTCATGCCTGTCGAACTAGAGCTTTATCATAGGCCTCCACCATCCCGTGTTTAGCTGCAAAGTGGGTTGAGAGAGGTACTTTGCACGCCATTATTCATGTTGGTCTTCTCACCGTGCCTTACCAGTAGCTTACAAATCTCCTCTGGTGCGTATCAGTCATATCGAACAATCGTGTTTCCCACACATACCGTGCATCCCCCGGGTTGGCTCGATGATTGCGCGAGCGAGTAGCGAGCATCACCATCTGCTGCATGTCTGACGTGATGCGTAAAGGTGCTACGCCCACCTGGCTTTCGCGGTGTGCAATTGCGCCGTTTCGCAATTCGATGATAGAAGGAGGCGAATAGCTGCGGTGCACAGCTCCCTATCGTAAGAGCAAGCGTATGCATCCATCTCAGCTGGGCTTTATCCACTCTGGCCTAGCTACGAAGAGATTAAGTATCATAACTTCACTAGTCCCCTCCAACGGATCCGTGCACATGATCCTTCCAATTGCATCCTGTAGGACAGTACCCGCGTCTCCACGGAATAGCCAATCGCACAAAATATGTATTCGACATTCACGGCGATGAGGCCATACTGTAGACAGATGACAGGTGGTGGCTTCGGCACCTAGAAATTTGTGAATGGGGCATTTGCATATTCATCGGGATATCCATATGTGATCATATCAAATTCATAATAGACGTTGAGAGATTATGAGTTATACTCACGAACTGTTAAACGGTATTCGAAGTGTTCTGCGTCGACCACAACTGAATCGACCCATCAGACGTCCGGTATGATGGCTTGATCCAATCATCTCTGATTTTGCGCTTGATTTCGTGTGAAAAGGCTAGGGGACGCTCGTTGCTGAAGCGCCTTCATAATATTGCAATGGTCGGGAGGTATAGGTAGTCCACATGTGAGCGCTGTGATAGCTATAAACAGAGCAAGAGCAAGGACTCACAAAAACATCGGCTAATATATATATCAGGTTCATTGATCTGTCGTACGCGCTGCCTACTCTCTTAGGCAAACTCTTAAGGGCCCCAAGGGTCTCGAAGGGTAGTCACATCTAGATGGCCCATCGTAGAAAAAAAGAAAGTATAGTATAATGAGTAAGCACTCATGTCTTTTGGGCGTATCAAGCCGCGCCAACTGGTATATCGCTATCTAGTACCCTGTGTGCGAATATACCTCCCTTGGCATGTGCCTCCTCTCGATCGATTTGAAATTAAGCGACCCTCGAGGGCTGTGCAATAGGTCCCTATGAAGCGGCTCAGAACGAACGTTGTCGTCCTCTGTAATTTCTCGACAACAACCGTGACGAATACTTGGAAGCACGTTTTGAAGTGGTGTACTATGGACTCTCGTTCGAGCAGGGTTGGTGCTGTTGTATCGACTTGCGTTCGAAGGTATGTAATTTATACTTGGCCCATGGATGAACCGTTGAATGTGCGATGACCGTACTGAGGTTGACCGTTGACCGGACACGACCATCGCGAATTCTCAACGTGGCCGAGAGGGCGGATTAACGTCGAACGCAACCTTGTGCAGTGTGTGATCCCCCGATCTCTTGACGGGTGCAGTCTGAAGCTTGAAGCTTATAGAACGAGAGGCGTACGATCGATGCTCACAATCGAAGAGGTTAGCCAGCCCGGCCGCGGCTGTCGGTGGCGGTGACAGGGTTCGATCCGGATGCCGCACCCGCCACTTACTAAGGAAAGTTACGGACAGCGCCGCAGCCTCGATCTGTACGGTCGCTGTTATACACGACAACGACATACGCAAATATACTAAAGACAGCATTCGTCTAGCGCCAGCATGACTTGACGTGCTTACTCATGGCGGGAACACCCAGCTCCAGAGAAGGAATTATCCAGTTCGCCATAGTCTAATGGACGGCTTACTCATTTACTTCGTCAGGGTGATATTCCTACCAAAACAGATTCCTTGGACCATGCAAGTCAAAGATATCCCCTTGGGCATACAAACACGGCGCCCGAAACAGTAGAAGACATCAATCACAAACAGTGGGCATGTTCCGACTCAGAGGGAGTCTTTGCTGAGCAGGAGGGTCGGGTTTCTTGCACGGGAAGTACGACTTAAATATCCAGGAATCAATGCGACGTGCAAGTAACTTTCTGATGCCCCAACGATCCCGCTGGTTGTCAATTGTCCTCGACGGAACCCAATCTTCTCTCGACCCACACATCGCCAATTTTTTTCACCGTTCTATCCAAAGAAATCCAGTCTTTCGCCTGATCTCTCTTTGCTTGTGGCTGCACATGGATGTGGATGGGCATCCCCGACCACTCGCTGCGCCAGTGTCATGACGATAATCATTCTTACCATTCGAACTTATTGCTTAGTTACTTCAGCACTGCAACTCCATGATCCAGATAAGCTAAATTTAACTGTATTATCGCAACTTTGTACTCGTTTCGTCGAGTGGAGGTTAATAACCTGTATCCTAATATATTCCTTGATCTTTACTCGCCCTTACTCATCCACCTCACCCTCGTTGATAACATTAACGCTAACATCATCGATAGGATAAATGCTTACTGAGAAGCTAGAGTTTCCACAATGCCGATGTTAAACGTTAAGCCATCGACACTGGAATAAATGGCAGGGAATAACAACAAATTCAGATAGGCTGCTCCATATCGAGTGGAGAACTCATACCCATAAATGTGATACTTTAAAATAGATCATTGCCATGAATAGCACATAGCCAATCTCTCCACAATGTTTTGATGCGCATATCATTCTGTTTAGAGAGTAATTTTGGGACATTCAACGCCTCTGGACCTGCCCACAACAACTGGTACATCGTCTACTATGGGGCTGACAATCCTAGATTGCCTCCTCCAGAGTTCTCATACCTTACATGTCAGACCATTGATATAATGGCTTTGAAATATAACTCAACTCCAGCACCGCATTCTTTCGGCGCAATGGAGTATCTGATCACGCATACAATAACAGAATGCGCTCTAAGAAGCTAGATAGAAAATACAGAATGAATTTCCTCGAATTTTTCTCTATACTTCGAGGATATCATATTCTTTCTCTTGTTCTGGCTTGGCTAGCACTTGATCGTAGCATGCTTAGGAGTGCGTGTGCTGCGCGTGTCATGTGATTAATGAGGATTCACAGTATCATTGCCGGCGCATGAGGGGTTGGGGCACTGTTCTGCTGGGGTAGGAGAGGAAAGCCTGAGATCCCTACATGAGGTGATCAGGAGTCCAAGTATTATGTACGACAGCCTGGGATCCTGCTACGAGGGAAAAGAAATGTGAAGTCCAAGTATGATTGGGAAAAAAGGGTCCTGGCGCGATGGGCTCAAAGAACGGCAGAAAAGGGGGGGAGTCCAAGAACCAGTGAGGAAGATATTACTTACCTGTACGAAGTTATCGGAAAATGGAACCACGTTAGGAGTGATGGTATCAATGAGAGGCAAATAGATTCCTGATAGCGGGGATAAATTGGGGGCGAAGTGAATGGAGAATAGAAAGCAAAGGCATTTCTGGTGTGCGGAGGCAAGGCACCTGGCACAAGATAAAAATTGTAGTCGTGATAATGAACCTGGTGACCACTGTTATGTACATTGTTGAGCTGATTCCTGATTTTGAACAACATTATTGAATTAGTCGCGAGCAGCTCATGAGTGTCGCTCTCAAAAAATGACATCTGATCCTATAATAACAACAAATTATTGTTATTTAAATAATAAATAACAATTGGAGCTTTGAAGAACAAGAACTCACGAGAGTTATACGGGGCTGAAGCGGCAATGAGAAATATCCATAGCGCGCTGCTGACACAGTCACAACGAGCAAGGTGTTCCCTCCAATACCGATATGCATATTTGATATGGTGATCTATCTTGAGTGCATTGACGGCGTGAGACGCCTTCGCGCCGACCACTTCGGACCTCGAACCCCTACTTGCATTTTGCATAATCTGTAAACAAGCTCGCAAGAGAGCCAAGTGCCTTGCGCCCGCGGTGTCACGAGACATATAAAAATCAGAAGGATACCGGTCGGCATCAGACAAATGAGGAGTGTGCAACGTATATCAATTGGTCCCCATTGACTGAAATAACATATGATAGACGTTCTAGAAAAGAAACAACTTTGATGGCCTTGATCAGGGTGGACCAAGTTTTGAAGGGGTTCAATTGGCAACGGCGACTTCGTCCGCAGACACTATTGATCCCAGCAATGATTGTACTGCAGAACCAGCAGGCTGTACCACGTCTCCGCCACACGATATCCTGCCAAAGGCGGTCTGAACGATTTGACGATAGCACCATGACATGTCGAAACGGGATGCCAGAAAGTACGTCCTTCAACCTGTCCACAGGGACCATCTTGCTCCATAAAGCGCATTGCGATTGCCGTCCCTAAGAAGAGACCCGCTGCACAACTGGTGAGTTGTTCGATTACCACTGGTCCTGGCCGATCGGTACTCCTGAATGAACGTTATTGCTTCCCTACATGCGTCGAACCCTCTGACAAAAAAAGTGTGGACATCAACTGATGCTACAAGTGTCACTTGTTTCCCTGCCAGCCGGACCAGTTCTTCGCAGGCCTGGCGTGACTGTTTCCAATTATCCAAGGCGTCCGCGACATTCAAAGTGCATACTCAGGGTGCAGAATGCACTCAGGCTGATAACACCAAACTTCGAATCGACAGTGCTGGATAGAAAGCATACACGAGCTCAATGTGCCGCGACACTATTCTGAGTCACGGTCAGCTTCACAATAGACCGCATGATTATTGACAGAACTTGCCTAGGGAACCTTGATGAATGATGTACATCGATTCCTGGAAAGATAGGTTATACCGAGAAGGCATATTCCCAGGTCACTATCATGGCATGACTCGGAATCGCTATGCTTTTTTTTGTTTTAGCCTTCACATAGTATATCGGATCATGTTCACGATGGGAAAGGCTAGGGTAATCATGCAATCCCGACTCGACGTCGACTCGCATGTTGTATACGCGACTGTTCACCTGCGTTTCAGATGCTACCACTACGAGCATTCGCCGAAATCACTTGGTGCGACATACCAAAAGCACAGCGCTGACTGAAAGCCTACTATGGCTATGCTCCGGACCATAATTGGGAGTGAAAAGGTAAACAATGGGTCTAATATCGCATAACTATTCCTTTATGGGATGAGCCAAACCATCCCGTTCTAGGATATGACCGTAACATCATAATCACAGTAAGCCTATTCTTTGACTGTTGCAGATAATTTTGGCTGTTCCAGAGCTGCCACTTATCTTTCCCTTTGTGCGACAGGGAAATGCAATCCCACAAAGACGAGCAGTGAAGAATAGATAAAGACCAAACATGTATATTTTTACCTTTTGATTCTTTGTTCAATCTTGGAGCACACCGGTGAAAGTTTTCCATTTGCATCTCTGGTGTTAGACTGTTGCAACTTGCTATTTTGGCAATTGCTCGTAGTGTACCACATGACCGATGACTGGATAGACGACTAAAGGACTTTCGCACGGAACTTACCGGCAGTCCACTTGGCAAAGCCACTGCAATGCACCGACATCTCCAACTGTCTCGAAAAATAACGAGTTAGACCAAAGTTAGTTAGGCAAGATATAGCGCACTGATCCTAAAGTATCATCATCGCGATGCGGTAGCCGACACCACCGCCTCGATACTGCATTTGTAGAATTCATCAAACCCACGTCGTCGTGACTGCAGAAGATTTGCAAAGTACACCCAAGTCTCGAGATGACATCGTATAGATCAATCATGCATCCTGTACGTTTTTCTGTTGTCTTGACTATGTTTGTACTCTGATTTCTGGTGTCTCTCAGTGCCAAAATACATGCTTAGCTGAATGTGGGTCACAATTTTAGCGCTCAATAATCCGCCTTTCCATTGGCGCATGCGTTCAAGTCCATTTGTTGTGGGCAGAAATGCAGTGTGGACGCAGAAGGTGCTCCCTGTGCTCTAGAACTCTGTAAAAGACTTCCACCACGTTGTAGTCAACTGTGACGAGTAAAACGCTCGAATTCAGGCTTTGTGTTTTGCTCGTGAATATCGTGGACAGTATACATATAAAGGTGTCATTGACATTGGGCAAGTTCTATCATTCTAATAGCGAAACTGACAACTGACTACTATGCCATGGAAACAGGTCCTAGTATGTTTTCAGAATCGTCTGGTGCTATGTCAGTCACTACACTAGACAATGTGATCAAGTGGATATGGTCGAATCAAGCATGTTTATAATCTATCATCTTAGCATACAATCCCAATGTAGAAGAACGAGAACGAAGGCGCGCTATCTTTTGGATCTTTGTAGATGGTGTCCTCTAAAATCCTTATAACCAATATCACTGCTCGCTATTAGCGGTCTTGAGCTTCTTCCTTGCACGTTCCATAGCATTTCCGAGCAATTTTGAGACGAGCCTTCAAAGAGGATCTTTACACCGTGATTGAAACTTGTTGAAACTGAAGAATCAAGAATCAAGGATTGACAGAACGGCAGTTCGAACAATCGGAACACATGCAACCTGGCATGTTGAATACATCACAGAACACGACAAAAAATGCCTTCTCCAGCACTCTTCTCTCTCTCTCTTTCATCCTCTTCCGGTCTGGTCTCGACACACACGACGTAAACACCATGATACTGGATAACCTCCACTAACAAGGAAAAACGGTTGCAGACAATTAGCCATATATTGCATTGTTCATATGGGTAATGCACCTTCAAAAATTGTCCGACCACGCCAGAAACCACGATGCTTAAAATTCATAGCCCTTGTGTAGAAGATGATGGGCTTACATTAATGTCGCACTTTTGACGCTGAGAAACAGACCTAGGAGAGCTTTACTCAAGATAGAAGACGGTTCGGGCTTGCCCTTGTTCTTTCGATCCGTCTGTAAAAGTATGAAGCTGTTAGAGATTTATGAATGACATAATAAAGATTCACTTACCCGCTGGCAATCGAAAATATATAACCTTAAGTAAATGTCCTCTAGGTCAAATGGCAGAAACAACACACCCACTGAAAGTGGACAAAACGACTAGTTAATCGAAATCGACTGATTTGAGCAGTGAATCAGAACACGTACTTCCTACATTACATATACAATACGCCAGCTCCGTTAGCACTTAATGTACAGATATTCTAAAGAAAGCACCTTACAATCTACAAATCACCGGTCACAATAAAGGTAGCTGTAAGTTTTATAGAAATATGCAAAACATACAATCTATAATAATATGCACTTAGTAAAGTTCCCATCAAAACACACATGAGATGGTTGCATACAAGCTGAGAATGTCACCAAGACCATGACAGTCAACCCAATGTCTGCCTCGCAAAGTGAGAAGAGGAACGTACAAACTGAGAATGTCACCAAGGCGAAGACAGTCAGCCAAATGTCTGCCTCGCAAAGGGACAAGAGGAACGTACAGGCTGAGAATGTCACAAAGGCCATGACAGTCAACCCAATGTCCGCCTCGCAAAGGGAGAAGAGGAACGTACAAGCTGAGAATGTCACCAAGGCGAAGACAGTCAGCCAAATGTCTGCCTCGCAAAGGGACAAGAGGAACGTACAGGCTGAGAATGTCACAAAGGCCATGACAATCAGCCAAGTGTCTGGATCTCAAAGGGAGGAGAGGAACGTACACCCTGAGAATGTCACAAAGGCCATGACAATCAGCCAAATGTCTGCCTCGCACAGGGACAAGAGGAACTTACACCCTGAGAATGTCACAAAGGCCATAACAGTCAGCCAAGTGTCTGGCTTGCAAAGGGAGAAGAGGAACGTACACTCTGAGAACGCCAAAAGACCGTAATAGTCAGCCAAGTGTCTGGCTCGCAAAGGAACAAGAGGAACGTACAAGCTGAGAGTGTCACAAAGGCCATGACAGTCAGCCAAATGTCTGGCTCACAAAGGAACTAGAAAAACGTACACCCTGATGTTGTCACAAAGACCATGACAGTCAGCCAAGTGTCTGGCTCGCAAAGGGACAAGAGGAACATACGGGCTGAAAATGTCACCATAAGTCCATGACAGTCAGCCAAGTGTCTGGCTCGCAAAGAGCAAGAGGAACGTACAAGCTGAGAATTTCACGAAGGTTATGACAGTCAGCCAAATGTCTGCCTCGCAAAGGGACAAGAGGAACATACAGCCTGAGAATGTCACAAAGGCCATATCAGCCAGTAAAATGTCTGGCTCTCAAAGTGAGGAGAGGGACGTACACGCTGAATATATCACCAAGGCCATGACAGTCAGCCAAATGTCTGACTTGCAAAGTGAGGAGAGGGACGTGCACACTGAGAATATCACCAAGGCCATGACAGTCAGTCAAATGTCTGACTTACAAAGACGAGAGGAACTTACATAATCAGCAAATCCATTCTACAAAACAAATCGAAACGAGTGAAAATAGGTCACATAAATTATAGTCCATGGAATCTTGGACTCACTATCTGTTGATCAAAGCGCAACGCGGAATTCAGACACGTAGTTTTCTGTTGCAGCTATAAACACGCACCAGCTATTAAGATGCAAACCTATTAGTGAGATTTATGCATAACACGAGTACTGTGCGTACAAGCTAAAATCATCGCCAATAGGGCAAAGGTTCAAGACGCTTCATCATTATGGACCATGTAAAATAGGAGATGATCCGCACAATTGTATGGTCTAGCATATCATTTAAGCGAGTTAGCGTCAACTGCAAACCTTGGGGATATTGCGAGAGTTCCTATATAGAGCTCAGTCAGACATACTTTGCGTCGACGATGCAGCTTACTTGTGCCAGTGGCGAAAAATGTGATTGTATACGCTGTGCCGCGTCATAGACCGTAAGGAAAATCATAGAATGCAGCCAAGGATTAAGAGAACTACTAGCCCAGTTCGTTAGAATATCTTCAAGTGAGACAAATAAAGGTAAATCCAAAAGACACTGATCCCCTTCAGACAATGCTTTGCGAAGATGATCCAGCCACCAAGTGGAAGCGTACTGCAACGGTTCATCTACAAACCAGAACTCCGTCTTATTTTTCGTCATGATATCTAGGCAATTAATTGCAATGGAAAGATGACAAATAGGAGGATTGATGAAATAGCTGCCCGAACGTGCTGGGGTCATCAAAAAGTCCCGTAAAGATGTGTGGACCAGTTGTACCGGATCATCGTCAGATTCGGGGATGAGAAGGATGGACTGAATGCTAAGGAAAGACTCCACAAGGTTTCGTGGGGGGATATTTAACAAGGTAGCAAGATCCTTGATAGGTAGTAGACGTCGGATAAGGAGGAAAGTGCCCATGATCCGTACAAGATCAGCTACAGAAACAGGTGCCCCACCCGGATACGAAGCATTCGAGAACACCTGGGAATACAGTTTGTCTAGGCCATGTGCTTTCAGGGCGTCCAGAAGTTTCTGATGCGGCATACCCCCCTTTCCACTAACAAAATCGACGAATGTGGACGAGTAGATGTAGGATCCCGCAGCTTCTTCGACGAGTGTGTCAAGGATTTCTGGAGAGGGCCAAGGCTCTAGCACTTTATCCGCAACCATAAGTAAGCGATTCGCATCATATATCCTTTTGAATTCGAACTGAAAAAACGTGCGAATATCCTCTGCAGCATCGAAATTCTGTAATTTCAATTGGAGCGTAACATCTTTGGCAGCCGGGCTTTCAAGTTTTTTACGGAGATGTTCTTCAACCCTGCTTGTGATAAAAAGACGAAAAGGGACCTGACTTTTCCTGGCCTCACAGGCATTAACTACAACGTCAATGAACTCCTCCATCGATGCTCCGTCTTGACGTACACATTCGTCCAAAGCGTCGATAACTATTACCATGCGTTTCCGCTTGAGGATATCCCATTTTTTCTTTGAGCATGCAATCATGGGTCCCATGATCAATTTGCCAAACTGATAGCTGAGTGAATCATTCAGTATAGAAGGTTCCTTATCGAGGGTGCCTTTTATTAACGGTTCCATGCCTTCGACTTCAGTTGAGAGCTGAAAGGCGAGTGTAGGAATTAGGCGTGATATTTTGTCTCGATTTCCTGTTCCTCTGAAAAAGAAGAAACTGGCGCCAAGTCTCTTCTTGTCAACACACCATTCTGCTATGGTCTGTGCTATTGTCGATTTTCCACATCCGGCCGAGCCATTTAGCCAGCAAATTGGACGACTAGTCCGGCGCAACCAATTTTTGATTATTTTTAGGACACTCTTCCGAGTGCCTTGCAAGCATCGGGCCTTTCTCCCACTGCGACTCTGGTACGAAGCGCTGACTGGTTGTAGCAACTGGTGTAAGCTCGGCGTGGCTGACCATCAAGAATTCAGCTCAGAACTAAAGGGTGACACGCGCCACACAACGTTGTACTTGCCATGAGGACTGTTCATGATGTTGTTTACAACGCAGTTCTGACTTCCGGATATTTCGTTGAAAGCGCTGTGATGAGCCTGAGTGTTTGCAGAGTCATTGAACATGCCTGCACTGGGATTTGGTAGGGAGGTATGTTGTTCGATCTGATGAGGATCTCTGGATGCGTCAATATGGGGACTGGGTTGGTTGTGATCAGACATTGTGGATGAGAGAACGGCAAGGATGAAGCGATGATTGATGATGGGGGGATTGGGGCATGGGAATAAACGCATAAGTAAATTAGCACATCGATAAGCGCCTCCTTAGCCTTATGCCTACATGACTCATCTCAGTTTTATAAGCGACTTTAAAGCTTTCAAGTGACTTTAAAGCAGAGCCATTTGGGAATAGTTTCGATTCAGTGTGTCATCCCCCGTTGTGGTATCATTGTGTTGCCTTTTTTGGACGACCGATATCTTTCACTGTGATAAGATGAGATGGAGAGTGTGTAGGTTTGATGTGCTGGCTTAGATAACTCTGAAGTAATGATAACATGAAATCATATAGATTGAACAATCATTTATCTTATTGTACTAGTACATGGCTGCGAAATGAAAGCTAAAAGATGGTACAAGAGACAGCTGCAAACAAAGTGTTGCCATGTGAAATCAAATGAACTAACAAAGCTTTGTATTGGGCATGCATAGGTGGGTTAGGCATGATAATGTGGTCCACAAATTCTATAATATAATTGTATACTTCACCAAACTTTGACATCACAAAATCTTCCTGATGGTACGTCCCGTGTACCAACTCCTCCACGCAACAGGATAGTGAAGCTCCTATGATGCTGAATGTGTTACGATAACACATTTTCGGACCTTTCCTTTATTTTCATTCTCCGCTTTAACCTTTACTGTAGCTTTCACACTCCGTGCCATGCGGCACTTTCCCTTTTCATTTAAACTCCTCTTTCTCGCGTTACATTGCTTTCTTCTTATTTTAGCTAAAAGTCTCTCACACAGTGGAGCTGGTCACACGGGCTGTACCCTATGACAGCACCAGCCACTGCCTTTAGCAACTGTATAGTACATACGTACAAACAAAACCTGTAACAGTATATAAACCCCAATAGATCAAGGAGATCCTCAGCGAGTCCTCCTGTTGTATACCAACAAACTCCCTGCAGCTTAAGGGGTAACCACTCCCTCATCACCACCTTTATAGTATGTTCCTGTGTGCGCCAGAGTAACTAACTCTTGGTTGTTACAGAATGCAAACTTGAGTGACACCGGAGACTCGGGGGGGTGGGTGTAACCGCCACACCATACAAAGTGGAGGACAACCAAAAGGAAGACATTGTTTTTGAAGTATAGTATCAGCGGTTGCTGATTTGGATCCTAACATACAGTGAGTCAAGATCATCTAAGAGAAAGGTTCTCTTACCTGAATCACCCGGTTCATAAAACGGCATTGGGGTCTTTGTAGAGCGTAACACGAAATGTTGGCACAATGCTGGACCTTGGATTTGTTGGACCAAATGTTAACATGCATTTGGTAGCTAATACGGAGGCTCCTTTTGACAGGGCCTTGGCTCCATCTCATAAAAGGGCCAGATTATTGAACACAGACCTCTTCCTCCCAGCAGATCATGACGGGGGGCCTTTGATGGAGTGCGCGTGAGCAGCGGTGTCGAGTGAATTAGTCACAATGCTCCCTCCAACCTCCCATTCAGGCATACCCCTAACATTAAACACCTTCTTGAGGATCTCAACTTTTGCAAGGTCCATTCCTGACTTGTCAAGCTTCGTGAAAGTTGCCTCACTTGCGAGCGGCTGTACAGGCGGAGGGGGAGAATTGAGTGAGGCTGTGGTGCAAGTAGTCCGATCTGCCCAGCTGCTGACTCTGGGCGCAAGGGTGGGGGCACACTAGGGTGGGGGATTGGGGGGATTGGGGGTGTAGGCAGGAGGGTGTTAATGCTATGGACCTGTTTTTGGGCCCGTTCTGGTATGAGGTCACGGGTCTGTCTTGTTCTCTAGTTGATTAGCATGTTAGTGAGCAGAATATAGTTACTGTGAAATAGGAACTTACTTTGAAAATTCCACGTGTCCATTCTCCTGCAACCATCTCGTTTTGACGACGAGGTAGATGTGCTACAACAAGGTGCATCCCAGAGGGCGCTACACCATGCAACCAAGGGGGTGCCATACCCAAGCTGTGGCACTCTTTGTTATGCACAAAGTGCTTAACAAAGTCTGAGGATTCCTCGAGGGTTCAAAGGGACTTATCCGAAGACAAGTTTGAGGGTGTAGTTCTGAGTAGAGTTCTTCCAACGAGAGTTGGTCTTCTTCTGAGTAGAAGTCTGATCTTAGGAGTCTAGCTTTGTAAGTGTAAACTGCGTAGAATTGTATTGAAGAAATACTACTACTGTTACAAGGGTATTTATAGGAAATAAGATCAGTGATAGGAGTTAGGTCCTATCTAGGGGAGGCTTGCCTGTTGAGGGCTAACTACTATACTAGGTAATGTAGTCTGCGAAGAAAACGGAAATGTACGTGAAGGAAATGAGTCATCAGTCCGATGGTATAACCAATGAGTAAGGAAAAATAACTAGTTCATAAAGGGAGTAGAAATTGTAACACTCTTGAACTACCACCTGCAAACCTTGGAGTGAGTTGTCTGTGGAGTCAAAGCCTTGCAAGCGTTGCGGAGTGATTCGCCTTAACGTCTGGCTGGAAACCTCGTGTGCATATGGTGCATCAATTGGCCACTGCACTGGCTGGGGATGGGGTGGTTGGGTTGGATGAGAGGGGGGATAGAAGGGGGGATAGGAGTGAGATGGTGGCCAAGTCAGATGAGGAATGGGAGGATGGATAGGAGATTGCATAAGAGGACGGATGATGTGATGGAAGATCAAGGTTAGATGGATGAGAAAGATTCAATGACTGAGATGGATGAGAGAGATTCAATAACGGTTGGGAAAGCTGGAACAACTAGGACGGCTGGAATGACTGAAACAACTGATAGGATTGAGAAATAGTTGCCTGAGCATTGATGTTGTCTTCACCTTTGTTGTCACCTTCGTCTGTGTACAATTCATCATAATACCAATCCTCTAGGCTTTCTGGCTGATCAACCTGGAGGCCGAGCTGCAATTCCATCTGCTGATGTAACAACCAAGAGTTAGTTACTCTGGCGCACACAGGAACACACTATAAAGAGAATGAAGAGGGAGTGGTTACCCCTTAAGATGCAGAGAGTTAGTTGGTATACAACAGGAGGACTCGCTGAGGAGTCTCCTGGATCTATTGGGGTATATATACTACTACAGGGTTATTTGTACATGTGTACTATACAGTTGATAGAGACAGTGGCTGATGATGTCATGGAGCCTAGCCCATATGGTCAGCTCCGCTGTGTGAGAGAGCTGTGTCTATAATAAGAAGAAAGGCAACGCGGCGCGAGAAAGGGGAGTTTGGATAAAAGGGGAAGTGCCGCGTGGCACCATGTGTGAAAGCTAAAGTACAAGGTTAAAGCGGAATATAAAATAAAGGGAAGGTCTGAAAATTGTGTTATCGTAACACTACCCCCCTTCTAAGGCTCGACTTCCAGGCAAGACCAAATACCGGAGGTAGTGGTTAAATTTTCGGGCATAGGTTGAAAAAGAGAATTAAAAAGATTTGAATCCATGCCTCTAAGCTTCCTAGGAGCTGAGGGATTCTTAGAATAAAACTCGCGCACAGCATCGTGGGAATTGTCCAGATGGGCTTCTGGTTCCCACGTTCTGTCCTCGTCTCCATAGCCCTTCCATAGGACTAGGAACTCTAATTTACCACGCTTCAAGTGTGCATCCACTACTTGTTCGACTTTGAACTCTTCTTCACCTTCCTGGGTGACTACAACCAGTCCGGGCCGGTCTACACGCTGTCCCGGCAGCGGCCCTTTGTAGGGTTTCACACGGCTAATATTGAATGTGGGTACTACCCTCATTCGTTTTGGGAGTTCCAGCTCCACTGCGTTGGGTTTGACTTCCTTAATTCGGTAAGGGCCAATCCACTTTTTGGTCAGTTTTCTAGACTGCCGATCTTTTAATTTTAAGTGGTCGGTATCTAACCAGACCAGGTCGCTGACCTTGTAGTCAGGGGCCTTAGAGCGTCTACGCTCTGCCCTGTCTTTCATCTGCTCTGCAGTTTTGAACAGCGCCTTGCGCGTTTTGTCTAAGACAGACTTCATGTCTTTGGCCGTGTTCCCAGCAGCCTCGTTCTTGCTTTTACCAGGTTCTACACCCATTCTGGGGAGGTACAATCTAGTAACCTTGAATGGTGCCTTTCCTGTAGCCGACAACTGTTTGATATTGTATGAGAACTGGGCTATCTTTAGCCACTTGGCCCAATACATCTGCCTGTCATTAATAAATATCCGGAGATATTGTTTCAACTCCTGGTTGAGTCTCTCCGTTTGTCCATCAGTCTGCGGATGGAAGGCCGTTGATAACTTAGGTTTGATGCCCAGCATCCGGCATAATTCTTTCAAAAATTTGCTAGCAAATTGAGGTCCTCTATTGGAGATAACCGTTTCTGGTAACCCATGGATAGACCATACAAAATCTTTAAGTAAATCTGCCGTACCAGCGGCAATAATGGTTTTATTGGTGGGTATGAATACCACTTCTTTGGAGAAGCGATCTACTACCACCATTACTGAATCATACCCATTTGACTCGGGCAGGTCCGTTGTGAAATCAACCGATATATCTTGCCAGGGACCAGCTGGTATCGGATTCGGCATAAGTTTACCGGCCGGCGGTTGATGAGAATTCTTTGCCATGGCACATCTCAGACAGGATTTTACATATTCCTGTACGTCTTTGACCATGCCAGGCCACATGTAGTTTCTGAAGATCAACTCCATTGTTCGTTGCCACCCAGGGTGCCCAGCTACTGGAGTGTCGTGATGTCTATCTATTGCCTTGATCCTTGCGGACTCAGGCACATAGATTTTGTCTTTAAAATGGAAGTGTCCATCTTCCCATAAATAGTTTTCATTGCCATCAAGGCACGCCTTCTCTTCTGAGGAGATGTCTTTCTTGAAGACTTCCAGAAGATCGGAATCCTGCCCGATTCTAATATTGGCAACCCTTGATTGGTCTATAAAAGTAACACCTTTGTTGTCATCTTTGATGCCGTTGGCATGATCCTCTCTTCTGGATAAAGTGTCCGCTTTCCCCATAGAACTTCCAGGCTTATGAATTAATTTATAATTAAACCTTGACAAGTATACCGCGTAGCGGGCCTGTCTTCGGTTCAAGTCTCGGGCCATCATAAAATACTCCAGATTCTTATGATTGGTCCAAATTTCAAATTGGTGCCTAGCACCTTCTAAGTAGTGCCGCCAGTGCTCTAGAGCTCTAATGATGGCCAGCATCTCCTTATCATATATTTGATAGTTGCACTCTGTAGGCGACAAACTATGCGATAAATAGGCACAAGGCCTCCAAAGATCGTCAGGGCATTTAATTGATAGAACAGCCCCAGTAGCAAAATCAGAAGAGTTGGTTTCTAGCCGGAACTCTTTGTCTAATTCTGGAAATGCTAATATGGGCGCCGTTGTAAATGCCTGTTTAAGCTTATCAAAAGCTTCTTGTTCTTTGGTGCCCCAGTGCCAAACAATGTCCTTTTTAGCGAGATCGTTCAACGGTCTCATTTGTGAAGTTTTCAACAAATCTTCGGTAGAAATTACCTAAGCCAAGGAAGGCCCTAACTCCTTTGACGCGAGTAGGTTCTGGCCAGTCCAATATAGCTTGAACTTTTTCAGGATCCATCCTGATTCCGTTCTGGCCTATGATCATACCGAGGAAGTCTACTTCCTTCACTTTAAAATTACATTTTTTGGGTTTGATGAATAGGTCCCATTCCTGTAAGCGTCGAAGGACTTCTTGCACGATCCTGTCATGCTCAGCCTCATCGTCCGACTTTGTAAATATTAAGAAATCGTCAACATAAATGACGACACAGTTTTCCATATCCGCAAAGATCTCGTTCATCATGCTTTGGAAAGTTGGCAGTGAATTGGTCAACCCAAAGAACATGATGAGGGGTTCAAAGGATCCTCGGTGGCACGTGAACGCGGCCTTCCAAGCATCTGCTTCTTTGATTCATACATTATTGTACCCCCATCTGAGATCCATCTTTGTCAAGATCTTGGCACCAGCCAATTTGTCTACTAGCTGACTGATCAAAGGCAGTGGATACGCATTTTTAACCGTGTGCTCATTCACATAACAATAGTCCATAATCATACGCTTCTTACCATCCTTTTTAGGAATGAAGAACACCGGGGACGTCATAGGGCTTTTGGAAGGTCTGATGTAACCCTTTCTAAGCTGTTCGTCTATGAAACTTGATACCTCAGATCTTTCTGGAGCAGAGAGTGGTATCATGTGTCCTTTTCTCGGTTTGAAGGTGTCCTTCAAATCTATAGCATGGTCCCAAGGCTTAGCCTCTGGGAAGCACTCTGATTTATGTTTTGAAAAGACTTTCCAGAAGTTTTGGTACTCGGGAGGTACCAGCCTCTTTATCTCTTCTTCGGGTTTTACTTCATCATCGTCATCGTTGATCTTTTCTAAAGATCTGAGCTCATAAACGTGACCAGCGTTTATCTTCTCATGACGCTCATTGTGACGGACATGATTCGGTTTACCCAAGTTTACACACTCCTGAGGGCAACGTGACAATGTGACAACCCCTGTCTGCTAGTTGATCTTAGGATTGTGTTTAAATAGCTAGGTCCAGCCTAAGATTAAATTAATCTTCCCTATTTGGGTAGCTTCGGCGGTGACTCGTTCTCTGTGTCCTTGGTATTTGACCACAAAAGAACATTTGTGCGTGATGCAGCCACCCGTGTTAAGCATACCGTCAACATTATAGACGGGAATAGATACATCTAATTTTACAAGGGGGAGTCCAATTTGCTCCGCCCAGGCCTGATCTATGAAGATTCTGTTAGCACCTGAATCAAGCAGTGCGCTGGTTGGGTGTACTATGCCCCGGGCAAGGTTTTCCACACCAATGTCTAAACAGATCTCCTTTTGGAATAAATACATGCGCATCAACGCAGACCTTGGGATTTCGGGAAAGGGTGGCTCCATTGAAGAAGAAGAGGTATCAAAAGTTACATGTTTTTCTATTTTATTTTTACCAGAATCAAGCACCCTATTGTTTGTCTCGCCGGGGCCACACTCCAAGGGAGACACTGGTGCAGTGGTAGTATCATAAATATTACAGTTACAATGCTTCATACAAGTACATATTTCTGATAAATTTTGAAATCTATTTACAAATTGGGGAGTCATCCCCTTCTTTCCATTATTGCTTGTGCAACACCCCGGAGCAGGGGCCACTTTGTTGTGGTTTACTTCATTGTTTCGTGGAGCGAAGGCACCCAAGTGACCTAAGCTCCGGACTCTTTTCCCTGAGCCTTCATTTCAGCAGCCTGCTGATCGTAGAAGAAGGCCCGGATTTCGTCGTAGGATAGACCGGCCAGAGTCTGGAGCCGATCGTCCGGTTTTTCGGATTCTAATTGGCGTGCCTGGCGCCCTTGATTATTTTTTTGTTGAGCGGCCTGCGCTCCTTTTCTGCAGTCTCGGGACATGTGTCCCTCTTGGTCGCAATTGTAGCAGTTCCCCTTGAATCTGCACATCTGTCCTCCTTGAACTGCGCCGATATCCATGGGGGCTCCCTGCCTTGGTTGCAGCCCGAACGGCTTGAACCCGTGAGAATGATTATGATGGTTTGATGACCCAGGGCGCCTCTGGGATTGGTTGTTTTTGGTGGTGGACCCGCCACCTTGGTGCATAGCGTAGAGTTCCATGGCTCTGCCGACTCGACGTACTTCCTCAGCCGCCAGGGCCAGGTTTTTGTTTCTTGTATCCTGCAAGTAGATCTGTTCTGCAATGCGGGGGTTCACATTGCGCTCCAGCAGTTCTATGTTTCCTTGTTGGAAGGAACGGATTTGCTGACGCGCCCAGTCACGCTCAGCTTGCGGTTTGAAATATTTTTTGATCTCTATCTTGAGATTGTCCCAGGTCGGCCACACTCCCGCAGTGTAGCACTCCTGCATTCTAACTTGGGCGTATCGACCCGCCACAGGTCCCTTTAGTCAAGATAGCACCGCAGTGGCTACCTCAAAATCGTCGGCAAATGCATCCCAATTTGCCTTAACCCAAATTTGGAGTTTGATTGACCACTCAGCAAATCACGCTCTGTCTCCCTCAAAGGCGCCAGGGTCAGCGACAACTTTGACTTTCTTGTTGAACTTTTTCTCTACCGAGGGGTTTGCTGCAGGGAGATTTGCCTGCAGGTCGGCTAGTTGTGTGGTTAATGCCAAGATCTGCTGCCGCATGTTGTGCAACAGAGCGTTGACATCTTGGGGTTGCGACGACATGTCGACTTGTTCTCTTTGTAAAGTAAATAAAAAAATGTAACTGGGGGTCCCCGCTTGCTATCTGCGGATCTACCTCTTCCCAGCTGAGTATTGGATCTCAATCTCTGACTACCCACACTATAGTATTTGAAAATGTATATATAAAAAGTATTCGTACAAAACCCTGGTCCGAACGGTTGTCAGGGGGTGGTCCGCTTGTTAAGCTGTCAACCCTTCTCCAGACTGGCGGAGGCAAGTGCCCAGCCTGGTCAGAGGAAAGAGAAAGTGAAGTTTTGTATGTAAATTCTAATCAACAGTGGTTCCACACCAACTGCTGAGCTAAGTACTCCCCTTAATGCTGGGGGCCGCGTATCACAGGTATTGGTTCTTCTCCCAAAGCACTACAAGGCCGTCGCTAGGAGCGCACCTATCTGCTATGCGGGATATTCCTAACCAATAACCAAATCTCCTTCACCCTGGAGTCCGGGTGCCCAGTGGGACTTTTTGCACAACATGCGAGAGAGTAGAAGAGCGAGTCCTAATGTAACAACCAAGAGTTAGTTACTCTGGCGCACACAAGAACACACTATAAAGGTAGTGATGAGGGAGTGGTTACCCCTTAAGCTGCAGAGAGTTTGTTGGTTAACAACAGGAGGACTCACTGAGGAGTCTCCTTGATCTATTGGGGTATTTATACTAATACAGAGTGTTTGTACCTATGTACTGTACAGTTGATAAAGGCAGTGGCTGATGATGTCAGAGGGCGCAGCCCATGTGACCAACTCCACTGTGTGAGAGAGTTTGAGTCTAAAAGAAGAATAAAGGCAGCGCTGCATGAGAAGGTGGAGTTAGAACAAAAATGGAAAGTGCTGTAAGGCACGGAGTGTGAACTATAGTAAAAGGTTAAAGCGGAGAATGAAAATTAAAGGAAAGGTCCGAAAATTGTGTTATCGTAACAGATTCAGTTTATTACTTCTTACTATGAAGATGAAAATATTAAGCTTTGTAGTGATTAATTAAAGCCATGGCGCAATGGGTGAGAAACATAAGCAATAAAACTCTCTAGTTCTAATGCTTTACAAAACTAGGAAGACTAGATGGAGGGCTGCAATATTTTGCGGTGTAACCCATCCAATCAAGAACCGCAATACGACTGTGTTCTTGTAAACACGGATACATCATGGCCTACACCAGCTTGAATCCATGGCCTTTTTGCACCAGCTTGACTCCATAGCCTTTTTTGATATTACCTCGGGTCAGGGCAATACAATATCGCCCTTGTAAAAATGTTCAAGCCTTCTCATGGAAAAATGAGAACAAAATGGGCAGGTGCACAGCTGTTTGACAAAGGAGAGTACAAGTTGATACTACCACAGTTTTTTATTTGTGGTGCACACATGATACGAGCATTTGATATGAAAGACGGGCACTTTTTCTTGAATGATACAGCAGACGCAGATGTGTTCTTACGTTTTGGTGGCTAGTACTACTTCTTGCCTGAACCAGTCACAACTTTAACAATGTCATATGTGTTTTGGTCGTTGTATATTCAGGCTGAAACCACTGTATTCTAATTGAGACTGATCAAACATTAATCACCTTACCAGTCAAAATATATTACTGAAAGGTTTTTGACTGGCTGACATGACCTTATTCTCCCTCAGAATCTGTATCAATTCTGATCCAGTAATATAAGGTCTGATCAGCTCCTCCACAGTTTTGCGTCCACCTGTGATTCCCACGTAATATATCTAACTAGAACAATAATTACTGCCTTGATGCACCTCTAATTAGATGGTTTAAAAGCCATTCTTGGGCCTCTTTTATTATTTCTTCATTAATTAGCGACTTTGGAGTTGAAAAAAAAGTCACCTGAACCAGCAACTACACTCGGTTAGTCATCAAAGCCGTTGCTGTCTATTGGAAGTCAGCGTTTCTCCCAGTTAGGCAAGAACTATATAGTTTTTTTGTCCTCTCCCACTGAGAGACAACTTGTTCAGCAACAACACTCATTTGCAGTCCGCACCACTCCAAATATGGTAGCAGCTATACAGTTCTGCGGCTTCTCCCCACACGGCGTGCATTCCCATTTGGCAACATTTGGTGACACTCGGTTACCGGCACATGATGATCAACAAGTTGTGTGACTTGTATATTATGCGAGCTCACTGTTCAGCACAGCGAGCTTGTGTATCTTGCTTGTTTCTCCACATCACAACACGGGACTAGGCTTCCCTGAAAGCCATGATATAACACATCTTATGTACTTGTACTTAATGCTATTCCAGCTATGCCCCAACTCCAGAGAGAAATGTTCAGCTATCACCAGAGATGTGTACAATACGTTCAAAGGCCGAGGATATTTCTATGGCATCCTCCTTGTCCTCCTCTTCATCCTCAAGGCCTTCTTGGCTGTCAATTGCCTGGGACATTTCTCTACTAATTAAAGAAGAATCACTACTGACAGTTGTTACCAAGGGGGTGTGTGCTGAAGCCTTGCTAGCACTTTCTCTAGGTCTGATGTCGACACTTTCACCAGGACAGATTGTACCAGTAAAACCTGGTAGTTGCAATATTTTGAGTAGGCGGGAAACATGGTATTTGTTAAAGCACCCGCGCTCCATCTGGTGTATGCCAATTTGGAGGGCCAGAGGGAGATTGGTTGCGCGAACTTGGTCTCCGCATGCACACATGTATGCATCTTCATCCCCGAAGTAAGTTGTGAATCACCTGATCTCAACATTAAGGCGGTCAATTTCTTCACTGGCACGGCAGATTTTGAAGTACTGATCCATTGCAAGACGGCCCGCAGGGGTTGCCCAGGGTTTACTTGTTATATCCTGCCATGCGTCCCACAGGAGGTCAAAGTCTGCAAGAAAAGCGTACTCTACAACCTGCTTCCGGTCTGGGGTAGGACAAGGTGGTCGCAGAGCTTTGGCAGTGGTATTATAGTTGTTCAAAGCTGTTCGGATAGTAGCTGATCGTGCTTACAAGGCTTTACCAATATGCTTGCGTAGTGCATAGCCTAGAAACCTGTTAGTGTTTACTGAGATCCTTTGAATGATTCTTTACCTGTCTGCGAGCAATTCATTTTTGTCAGCTCGAACATGCAAGCCACAACAAGCCCCTCCAAACGATCTAAGGCCCTCTGATATTTCTGCATGGCCACGAGCCTGCCAGCACATTGCCATTCCGGATCATCTGGAGTCCAATGCCGTACAACCTGAAGCTTCACTTCTAATACATGTACTGCCTCCAGAATCTTCTTGTACTTTTCCTGCGCATGACAATGAGCGGTCTCTATCTTTTATGTTGGATCTGCCCTCTACGCCACCAGTGTTGTAGGAATCTGCGAGGAGAACATGTTAGCTGCTGCCACAAGAGCCTGTCTAAAGAGCAGAAATAAACATGTTAGTCCGGTGCGGTGGCGACGGCTTCACGTACTCACTGACTGCCAATTTGTCCAGTTTCTGCCAGTACTCCATTTGGAGTGCCTCTTCTATCGGCTCCTTGCGTAGACCGTTTAAATACAGCTTCTCCTCCTACAACCACCTCTCAAATGTCCCCTCCTCAACGACCTGAAGCTCTCACATTGCCTTTGCAAGATTGACTGGTCCATTGGCGAGAATGTCTAGTGCCTGCTTGTAGTTGTTGTACAGGAATGTAGCTACAAATCAAAACAATACATTATTTGTTCCATGGCCATCAGGGGGAAGAAAAAGACTTACATAGATTATGATACACTTCAAATGTATCATTGTGTTCAAAGTATGTGTCAATGACTTGCTTTCGGTGAAATATGCTGGCATATCGGACAGAAGACACTAAAGCATTGGACTTGGAGAATGCACGCTCACATCCCTCCAAGTCCTCAAGGCCTAGACCTTCAACATACAACACCAAGTGATCCAATTGACAGAGGTGTCTGTGAGTGTTGTCATGCACCAAAGTTGATTGGTAGCATGGACAGGTGTCAATAACGAAGCAAATATTCAAAAAGACTCGCCTTTGCGCCACACAGGCACAGTGCGTGCCACGTGGAATAGTAATTAATATTGCCTTTTTCAAACTTGTGGCTGATCAGCACCACCTCTATTAGGCAATCCAGTCATGCTCACCTTTGCTTTTCCATTCGGTACTTTCTGCGTTTTGGCATTTCAGCAAATTTTTGTGTTGCCACTGGCTACAAAGTGCATTGCGCCCTCACTTTTGTTGTTTCCTTCACTTCCCTTCCTTTGCCTAGCCCCACCATGGGTCCCTTACTCTCGTTTTTATTCTCACCCGACGGTCATTTCTGGATCCCCATTTTAGTTCACCTCCTCGTCACCTCCAGCCTCCTCCTCCTCATCTTCTTTGCTCCCCCACCATTTCTGATGTCACCACTTCCTATCCGCTTCCGTTGCTGATCCGTCAACTACCACGTGCCACTGCTGATATCAGCAAAGCCCGGCGGCCGGTTCAAATAGGGCAACAGGTCCATCTTTATGACGTCGATCTACCATCATATACTATCAAAACATCGGTCGCTCGTCTTGCCTGGTTGGAGCGTGGGTGGGTAATTTTTGAGCTGGAGAAGGTTCATCCCCTTGCGTCACCCATGTTCATCGCTGTCCCATTCACTTGGGTACACTTATCTTTTGTCCATTGTCTTCGCTACAGCTACACCTACCACACACTGTCTGGGACTCACTTGTTCCAAATTGGGACTACTCCTCTCCCTCCCTCGTTTGACCAGGTGGTCCAACACAACCAGTCCATTGGTAAGGCCATGGAACTGTCGGATTTGGACTAGGTGGTGGACCGGTGGCTCCAGTTTCTTTTTTTTCAGCAGAATATTCATTTACAGTGCAATTATTTTTGATTTTTGAATCATTTTTATGGACACATATTTTTTAGAATGCCTGACTGACAATAAATGAACTGTGTTGATACTGATAGTGTTTTGCCTTGCCCTTTTTTTACTGTATCTTCCCATGACACCATGATTTTCCTGCTCTCTTTTTGCTATTGGACTTTACTTTATGGCTGTACAAACCTGTGACATTACTCACAGCATTCATTGTTCTATCCCTTTTTTCCCCTTTTTTTGACAACTTTATCCTGTACTACCTACACAGAATTTGTCAGCATACATTCCTTCCTTCATGTTCTTTCTCATTCTTTTTGCACAGCTATACTGTGCATAGCCTACTTTTCTTTTACTATATAAACCCCTGTATTTTACCTTGTAAAAAAAACAAGAACTCGAATCCAGACTTCTTCTCTAATCTCAAGTTCACTACTCACTACTACTTGTGATCCAGTGTGGTCACAACACTCACTTCCCACTGCTACCACTGTTAACTGCTGTCATCGTCACTCATCACTTTTTGAAAGTGATTGTCATCCCTTTTGATTAGAGTCCTTCTGAGCACTACAGTCTGTGCGTCAGGAGCCTGCTATCACTGGGAACCTCGTCACCTTGTCATCCTCGTCATTCTCAGACCTACCTTGTGCTACAATTAGCAAGGTAGTGCTCATCTATACTCGTCACTAAGCCCCTATCTTCTATAAATTCAACTATCCCTCCTCCTCAAAACCCACACTCATACATCTCTGGGTTTTACTTTGAAGGATCGTTATATGTACCACCCCACAAACAACCAGACCACTCCACTGTTTTAGGAGGCAAAGCCCATAAACAAGTTCCGTGAAATCTGGGAGGATTGTGTGTTAGTTTGTTTTTGTGTGTGGTTTTCTAACAACAGTTCTCATCATCGACAGCGTGCCCATGGAATGCCCCCACCAAACATGTGTGATTGAGTGTGTGAGCCCGTGAACCAAGAGGGCTGTTCCGAAGAGTGGTTTTAAATTTGCAGTTGATGTCAAACCCGCCTGCAAGACCTTCACCGAAGACATCCAGCAGTTTCACAACAACAGCCAGAGGATATTTGGCCCTATAAGAATAGATCAGTAATGTAGAAAGTATGATAGTAGTGAATGACCTACAATTCTCCACTCTGCACCATATCCACAACAACAAGTAACATTCTATGGCGGCAAAGAGCCAAAAATTTACCGGTTTCATCAAACACGCCCCACATCTTTTTCACGATATCATCTTTCATATTTTTCTAGCGGCCAGCACATAGATTATCTTCAACGTTGTCCTGTAAGGTGTGAAAGTCAGCGTAAATAAATCTTATTAGCTAGTCCTACAGCACTGATGGTCTCTCCCAGAATGTCCTCTAGAACTCTGTGCGCCCATTTATCCACGTACTCCCTTGGCAAGTAGTGATCTCCACAAATATACTGAGGGCTTGGAAGTTGTGATGAATGGCCTATCCTCTCATTGTTATTGTCTGGTGAGGTTTGTCTGATGATTCACTTGAGCGAATCATTGCCATCCATTGTGTACATCATCTTGAATAACAGAGTGCCCTCGTTCTTTAGCTTGTACATGCATGGTGGGCAAGCGTGCTTCAATCTCCACTCAGGTGAATTATGTTGAAGAGCCAATTGCACAAGCTCACTGATACGCTGTCGGACTTCAAGATAGAGACCAAAGGCAATAGAAAACTGGAGGAAAAGATATCCTCTGTACCGAACCTGAAGAATTAGTCAGCAACCTACACAGTCAAACTAAAAGTACTATGCAATGTGATACAACTCTAGGGTATCCACTGTGATGCCTACCGAGGGGGAGATTGGCGAACAAGGCATTACACCTTGACAAACAAGAGCCGACACAATAAAAGTGTCACTAGGAAAGATGTTGAGTTGGAAAGTCTGGGCGTCTATAAAATGACACAGCATTTTTCAGCGCTAACCCTATCTAAAGCATTCAATCAAATTGAGGTTCTTACCAAAGACGTCCACCACCTGAACCTTGACAAACCCTGTCCCTCGAGGTAAGTCATTGCCGGTGCATACTTTTTGTTCCCCTAGAAAACCTTGAGCACCAGATGCCTTGCAATTGTAAGTCCACTTGAGGTATGCATCTGTAATTGCGGTCAGCTGATGATTAAAGGCAAGAACCCGGAGCATAATACGGTCTCTACGATTTTGATGATCTGGTCAACATGATTTACGGTGATAGTAGCTGACAATTCATGAGAAGACAAAGAAAATGTTGAGTTAAGATAATGTACTCTTTCCACAAGTTGCCGTTGAGTTTCCTCGTGAGTGCTTCAAATTCTCCACCCACATGACTGATGTTCAATGGCTCTGAACCATCAAGCACATCATTGAGGGTCACAATGTTGTTGTATATATCTTTGTCGTCACTAACTGGTGCATTGTGGAGGTCTCTCAGTGCCTCCAAAGCGCATCGTTCGTCGGCCGTCATTTCTCGTTCATGTAAGGGTTGCTATATTTTTAGGTGCATCAGTCACTCACCTTGCATGCAAACCCTATAACTTTCATACGACTCTAAGGCTCTTTTTGTAAGTGCTTTTGGACCCAAAACCTTGTGCACAGGCTTTGTTGGCATGCCATTCTTGCCTCAAGTCCGCCCCACATGTCTGATCTTCCCACTCGACAAGCTGGTACGTTTTTGAGGGCGTTTTGCATTTACACCAACCATGGGTGCAACTCGGATGATGATGTATTGATGTTCTGCATAGTAGACTTGGTATTCAGTACCCACCGGTACTCAGCAGCAGGTCTCAGGACACGTCCGTGACAGCGCATGACACAGGTATGTGATTGATAGCCACATCATCATTCACTCTATCTCCTGCCATGATTTGCATGCATCAATCACCTACAGCCAATTCTAGTGCCATTCCTCCGACCTCTTCATTTTCACCTGGAAAACCACGCTGTGACAATCACAATCGCTCTGGTAGGTAATGTCAGTAGATGATTCCTTGCTCAAGTTATTGATTTTACCCACAGCACAATGCCTGCCTTTCATGGAGACAATCACAAGCACCCATACCACTACAACCACAACCACAACCACAACCACAACAATGACAGATGCTATCTCTGTGACAACCACCCCAAGAAAGTCTCCCCAGCTGGCCGTGGCAGGTCCTTATGACTTGGAGAGTCCACAATTACCACCCACCATCAAAAACAAGCTGCTTGCCCAACCTCCTGTCAGTCTAATGACATTGTTCAAATCAAATGTTCCTCGCCCCGACCACATTCAACCTCCTGCAAAAGGCGTCACTCCGGAGGGTTACTATGTTGTCTGGGTTGGTCAAGAAGTGGGGATCTTCTACACCTGGTGAGTTTGGCCTTCCATTCTGTTCAATTCTACTAAATAAACTTAGGGATAATGCTGCTGAAAGGGTACTAGGTGTTAGCAGTAATAGGTATAAGAAATACAACAACTTTGATGAGGCTCTCAGGAAATATAGAAGTAAGTATGAGTTGGGTGCCGTTCAAGCGGTCCCAATCCCTGGTGGTTGGTTCTGGTCAGAGGACATCCATTCCGATGATGATGACCCATACTCTGCTCTCACAGAGCGTTCGTGGGATGCGCTTGAGGCGTTAACTGATCATTTAAGCCATGTCTTATGAATAGTCGGAGGTGCTACTCACTACAGTATAATGACTCCTAGGAGAACAATGGTTACTCCATGGAGTGGTGGCTATGCTCCATGGAGAACAATGGCTGCTTTGGCAGAGACCGGGTTTATCCGGTTTTGTCACTCCCACTCGAGTGCAACTGTAGTCCCATAGCTTTAGAGAATTTCCAGTGTTTTTTGTGAGTGAGGGGTTTAGTGAGAATGTCAGCAACCATATCTCCTGTAGGAACATATCTGATTACTGCCTATCCCTTTGATACTAAGTTATCTCGGATAAAATGATATTTTTGATGAATATGTTTTGTGCGAGCACGGAACTGCAGATCTCGTGTGAGAATGATAGCTGCTTGATTGTCACAGTGCAATATTGTAGGTCCATTTTGAGCATGTCCAATTTCTTCAAAAAATGTCCAAAGCCATGCAAGGTGTTGTCCAGCATTGCTCAATCCAATGTACTCTGACTCCGTGGAGGATAAAGCTACCATGCTTTGTCTTTTGCTTGTCCAGGAGATTGCTCCTTGGATGGTGATAAAGACAAACCCTGATGTTGATCGAGACATGTCTGGGTCTCCAGACCAATCTGCATCTGAATATCCATAGAAATCCATGTCCATGGGGACATCTGTGCCATCATATTGTAGTTCCATGTCCCTGGTTGCTTTCAGATATCGGAGGACACATTTTGCAGCTTCCCAGTGATGGCTCCTTGGAGCTGAGCTATGCCTGCTTAGTGTTCCAACGATGTAGGCAATGTCTGGGCGGGTTCCGAGCATGGCATACATGAGGGAGCCTACAATTGAGAGGTATGACACTTGGCGCCCTTCAATATGCATCTCGTGTTGCACAATATCTTCCCCTGGAGCATTTGCAAGGAGTTTTGATCCATGGGCCATTGGTGTCCATACTGGTTTGCAGTTCTTCATTCCAGTACACTCCAGGACTGTGTCAATGTATTGGCATTGCAATAGGGATATTGTTTTGTTTGAACAATCACGTTGGATTTCTATTCCGAGGATGTATTTTGCTTCTCCAAGGTCCCGCATTTTGAATATGGATTTGAGTTTGGCTTTTGTGATATCCATGAATTTTCGGGATAAAGCTCCTAGGAGGAGGTCATCCACATAGACAACAACAAAGCATATTTGTTTGTTGTCCCGGAACACATAGAGACATGTTTCTGCATTTAGTCTTGTGAAGCCGAGCTCCTGGAGCTTGCAATCAAAAGTTTTGTTCCATGTACAACCAGCTTGTTTTAACCCGTAGATGGATTTCTTCAATCTCCAGCAGTATCCAGGTTGGATAGGAACACCCCCTGGAGGAAGCATGTACAGTTCTTCTTCAAGTTCTCTATTGAAATAAGCTGTGGATACGTCCATTTGATCAAGTTCTAGGTCGTACTTTGCTGCCAGGGCTAGAATAATTCGGATCGACTCTAAGTTTGCAACCAGAGCAAAAACCCCCTGGTAATCAATCCCCTCCCTTTGAGTAAAACCTCGTGCAACAATCCAGAGTTTGTATCTCTCAATATTTCCATTTTGATCAAACTTAAACCGGAACACAGGTTTTGATGTGATGGGTTTCACTCCCTTTGGAAGTGGAACAGTGTCATATACTGCATTAGTATTGAGACTTAGGAGTTCCTCCTCCAAGGCAGACTTCCATAATTCTCCATCCGGACGTGATAAGGCTTCCTTTAGTGTCCTTGGAAGGTCTGTGTTAGATGGACTGGTACTTGCTATTCCAGCAAAGAATGTCTCCTCTGTTTCAGATGTTTCTTCATGAACCTCAGGAGTGTTAGGTTTCTCCATGGAGTTGTCATGCTGCTCTTTTTGAGACTGTTCCTCATCTAGGGTCCTTTGATAATCCCGGTTTTTGTCTGCAGGACAGGTCTGGCAACTGCTTCTGTGTACTCCTAGGACTTCAGCAGGCATGACTGCTCTTTTAGGAACTTGTGCAGGTACTCTAGGGAGTAAACGCATTTGTGTATTTATTGCCCCACTCACTCCTGAAGGTGTTGAATCACTCCTCGAAGGTGTTGGATGACTCCTTGGAGGTGTTGTATGCCTTCCAGAAGCTGATCCAATGGACAGGCTGTCTAGCTGTATTCGGACTTTTTCCACATCAGCTGGCTGTATGTTGAGGGGCTGTCCTCCCACTGACTGTAACTCTACTTTGGCTTTCCGTTCTGAAGCACGATCAGCTACTATCCGGACAGCTTTGAACAACTATAATACCACTGCCAAAGCTCTGCGACCACCTTGTCCTACCCCAGACCGGAAGCAGGTTGTAGAGTACGCTTTTCTTGCAGACTTTGACCTCCTGTGGGACGCATGGCAGGATATAACAAGTAAACCCTGGGCAACCCCTGCGGGCCGTCTTGCAATGGATCAGTACTTCAAAATCTGCCGTGCCAGTGAAGAAATTGACCGCCTTAATGTTGAGATCAGGTGATTCACAACTTACTTCGGGGATGAAGATGCATACATGTGTGCATGCGGAGACCAAGTTCGCGCAACCAATCTCCCTCTGGCCCTCCAAATTGGCATACACCAGATGGAGCGCGGGTGCTTTAACAAATACCATGTTTCCCGCCTACTCAAAATATTGCAACTACCAGGTTTTACTGGTACAATCTGTCCTGGTGAAAGTGTCGACATCAGACCTAGAGAAAGTGCTAGCAAGGCTTCAGCACACACCCCCTTGGTAACAACTGTCAGTAGTGATTCTTCTTTAATTAGTAGAGAAATGTCCCAGGCAATTGACAGCCAAGAAGGCCTTGAGGATGAAGAGGAGGACAAGGAGGATGCCATAGAAATATCCTCGGCCTTTGAACGTATTGTACACATCTCTGGTGATAGCTGAACATTTCTCTCTGGAGTTGGGGCATAGCTGGAATAGCATTAAGTACAAGTACATAAGATGTGTTATATCATGGCTTTCAGGGAAGCCTAGTCCCGTGTTGTGATGTGGAGAAACAAGCAAGATACACAAGCTCGCTGTGCTGAACAGTGAGCTCGCATAATATACAAGTCACACAACTTGTTGATCATCATGTGCCGGTAACCGAGTGTCACCAAATGTTGCCAAATGGGAATGCACGCCGTGTGGGGAGAAGCCGCAGAACTGTATAGCTGCTACCATATTTGGAGTGGTGCGGACTGCAAATGAGTGTTGTTGCTGAACAAGTTGTCTCTCAGTGGGAGAGGACAAAAAAACTATATAGTTCTTGCCTAACTGGGAGAAACGCTGACTTCCAATAGACAGCAACGGCTTTGATGACTAACCGAGTGTAGTTGCTGGTTCAGGTGACTTTTTTTTCAACTCCAAAGTCGCTAATTAATGAAGAAATAATAAAAGAGGCCCAAGAATGGCTTTTAAACCATCTAATTAGAGGTGCATCAAGGCAGTAATTATTGTTCTAGTTAGATATATTACGTGGGAATCACAGGTGGACGCAAAACTGTGGAGGAGCTGATCAGACCTTATATTACTGGATCAGAATTGATACAGATTCTGAGGGAGAATAAGGTCATGTCAGCCAGTCAAAAACCTTTCAGTAATATATTTTGACTGGTAAGGTGATTAATGTTTGATCAGTCTCAATTAGAATACAGTGGTTTCAGCCTGAATATACAACGACCAAAACACATATGACATTGTTAAAGTTGTGACTGGTTCAGGCAAGAAGTAGTACTAGCCACCAAAACGTAAGAACACATCTGCGTCTGCTGTATCATTCAAGAAAAAGTGCCCGTCTTTCATATCAAATGCTCGTATCATGTGTGCACCACAAATAAAAAACTGTGGTAGTATCAACTTGTACTCTCCTTTGTCAAACAGCTGTGCACCTGCCCATTTTGTTCTCATTTTTCCATGAGAAGGCTTGAACATTTTTACAAGGGCGATATTGTATTGCCCTGACCCGAGGTAATATCAAAAAAGGCTATGGAGTCAAGCTGGTGCAAAAAGGCCATGGATTCAAGCTGGTGTAGGCCATGATGTATCCGTGTTTACAAGAACACAGTCGTATTGCGGTTCTTGATTGGATGGGTTACACCGCAAAATATTGCAGCCCTCCATCTAGTCTTCCTGTGACTGGTATGTGAGGTAGATACATTGGTACTGAATAATCTACAAAATGTAAAAAATAAAACAAGAATGATTATATTCTCCAAGAACAGCCAAAAGAAGCGGTCAAAGGTGTTTCCCTCATTTTCCAAGGTTGTCTGAGTGTAGTTTATCGTAGGATATTGACCGGTAAGGATCGGAGAAATGCATGGACCAAAAAAATTCTGTGAACGAGAGTTATTATTTTACAAGTGCTTTGATAGGTAGTCATGGACGAACCTCCGTTGCATGTAACCCATGGTCTTGTAGAATATGCTCAGCCTCACCTTTGGTTGGTGCTTGTATGGAGTTGATATAAACTTGCTGCATGCTTTTGTTTGATCGTGACTCGTATGTTTTATCAATTTTGTGTAAGTTATTGTGATGCACCAAACAAGTGGGGCAACAGTAATTGGCTAGTGCTGCACAGGTAGTAGTTATGGCGCAACCTTCCTCACCATCAACGCATCTGATAGGAATTCCAGGATGAATTATTCGATCAATCTTGTCTCCACATGACATGGCCTCACCAGGCCGTTCACAATTGCAAAGTGAGCCAAAGATCACTCTCATTACCTTTTGATATACCTCGCGTTTGAAACAGGCCCACTGCAGAGTTTCTGTTGCATTTCAATCAGAGGGATCTGTTGGGTCTCAAGGCTAGAACAGTATTGGAGTAAAATAATAATACCACAGAGAAAAACTACTTACTACAGGCATATAGCCAACAAGAGCACCCCCCCCATTTCCTGATCCATTTTGGATGGATCATGGGAGGGAAAGGGGCCAGATGATGATGGGATGTTTGCAAACATGTTTTATCACATTACCTTTGTCGAGCCAGTGTAACAACCAAGAGTTTGTTACTCTGGCGCACAACTAGAACCAACTAAAGAAATAAATGATGAGAGAGTGGTTACCCTTTGGGCTTCAACAAGTTAGTTGTGAGGATACAACAGGAGGACTCGCTGAGGAGTCTCCTTGATCTATTGGGGTTTATATACTGCTACAGGTTTGTTTGTACATATGTACTATACAGTTGATGTAGGCAGTGGCTGATAATGTCAGAGGGCGCAGCCCATGTGACCAGCTTTACTGCGTGAAAGACTTGTATCTAAAATAGGAAGAAAGGTAGTGCAGCGTGAGAAAGTGGAGTTTGAACAAAAGGGAAAGTGCCGCATGGCACGGAGTGTGAAAACTACAGTAAAAGGTTAAAGAGGAGAATGAAAATTAAAGGTCCAAAAATGTGTTATCATAACAGCCAGAGTGAAACAGGAAGGAAACAATGAGAGGTAGTCCTTCATCTCAAAGAAGAGTGTCCTAAAGTTGCACATCAGCATTGAGTCAAGTAAGTAAAGGAAGATTACCTGGATGTCCCACCAGTGATTTGCTGTGCATGTTTCATCATATATTTGTGTCTTGATGCCTATGCGATTATTCCAAGAACACCTGTACTTGTGGATAGGATACCAATATATCATGCTGGTCAGTGTTCTGTCTGTGATCCAGTTTTGGTAAAGCTCCCATGGGTCCCAATAGACAAAGTCAAATTCATATAATTTGCCTAAGTACGTGGCCAAGGTGTGGCCATTCTGAAACTGGTTTGTCCAATTAGTAGGAGAAGCATTGGAAAACAAAATAATTGTACCTGGACACAATAAGGGTGTGCTAGCTTCAGCAAATGTTCCATGTCTTTGTAGTTTTTCAGAGTTATACTTGTTTGACAAACCCATCCATTATGCATGCCATGGAGTTGCGTGTTTACAATTTCTTTATTGAATAAGCCCTTGACGGCAGTTTCTGTATATTCAAAAGCAGTGCGAGTTCAAAACGGGGCCCATGGTTTGAACATCGCTGTTGGGGAGGGATATTTAGTGGAAGTAGATGCAGGAGCTGTGTCTAATGATAGTATTTTAGCATCCTGAGTGCCGCTGTGATGGCTGTTCCACTGTATCTTGAGCTTGAGGGCTGGACTCCAAATCCTCGCTGCCTTGTCCACAATCAATAATGTCCGTTATGTCAGGTACTTTCTCTGCCTCATGGTTGCAACTGGAGTGAGACTGCAAGTTATTGAGTAAGAATGTAAAGCAAAAATATAGAAAATGGGCACTCACCAGGCTTGCATCAAGTCTGGGACATTTAGATGGCCTCTCTGAGGTATTGGAAACCATTGAAGAGGCTAGTTGCTGGCGACTGTGAAGCCCAGCTGCAGCCTGCACTTGATCCCGATACCTCTGCCTGCAGGTTTCAACTTGCTTGTCAAAATATCGATGGCTGCAATGTTCATTGCAATACTTGCACCAGAGAGTAGCACTGGCTCGTGTCGTCCTATGCTGTGACCCCATGTTGATTGTGTATAGTGCTCTGTTGAGGATTCAAAGACTTATAGATAAGTCAGCTGTCGGACTTGAAAATTCAAGTGTAGTAGCACCTACAGTAAGTGTTGTAATTGACTCCACTTTGTTGTCAATAACACCCATTAAATAACTTGGAGTAGAACAAAGTGAGTATGGGCAAAGGACAACGACGAGATAAACAGAAATCCAATACCAGAGGTGGGAGAAGCAGGTGTACACAGGAGAAAGAGCAACAGCAGAGGCCCCAGCAAGGCATTGAAGAACATCCTCATCATGAAGAAACACGTGTCACTGAGCGCCATATGAGTCCAGCTTCAGATTTGGAAGTCAAGATTAGTCGAGAAATGTCACCAGCTACATTATATCAGGTAAGTATGGCTGATACTGATGAAGAATTGTTCAACTAACCACAATATGCCAAATAGGCTGCCCGCAAAGTGCAGATCACTGCCAATAAAGCCAAAGACAGTGCCAGATTGATCCGGCAAAAGTACGAGGATACAATAGATCATGGGCTGGGTCTAGATGGACAAAGCAATAGCGAGTCACCAAGGAAAAGACCGTAAAATGGATGGGCCAAAAATTCTTGATCATGCATATGTTGTGGATGTGCGAGCCTGTCAGTACATTTGAGACAGCCATTGACAATGACTACAATAACCTCCATCGGTTTGAAAGTAAAGCTTCAATAATTCAGGGCCAACTATAAGATATAAAGGATGTACTGCCACTTTGGTTCCATAATTCACTTGGTGAAGCATGGTTAGGGCATATGGTAAGTAAGGAATATGGGAATACAGTAGTAAACTGAATTTGTACTCACATTAATGTCGAAGTTCCGCGATGGTATGCAGATTCAGCATTCTAACACTGCAAGTCGAATCCAAAGCCATGCAAGTGCCATTTTTGATTGCACTGAACAAGACCTTGCGTCATCTGAAGTAAGGAGGCAAAATTTTTATTGAGTGGATTGGATGGCAAAAGGGTAAGAGGGGAAGACCTACTTTCAGCCCATGGCATGTTGAGCTTCTACATGAGAACTATAATAGAAAAATGGAGGTCAAGAAGGTATTGTTGAACCGGATTCTAATGCTTGTAGGTATTCTACTAAACTCTAGTCTGACTCCAATCTTAAATACTGTATTGAAGGTCTTGAGCTGTGTCATCCGAGGACCGGCATCAGTATTGTTGGTGAAACAAGACAGACCCTCTCATCCATGAATGCTTGAAGAAGTGAATGTTTACTCTGGACCCTTGTATTACCAGTCTATCATATATACAGTGATGGAAAAGGAATGAATTTTCATTGTGAATTGTTGATGATGATGAATAATGCATGATGAGAGCTCTGGGAATCTTTAGAGCTATTCTTACCAACACTAATATCAAGGAGGTCATGTGCGTATTTCTCCGAGTCTATCAATATCACAGCAAGATTATCACATGGCATTTTTTTTATAAAATACATTAGTTACAAATAGAACAAGGCATGTGTTGAGATAGAAGCATTTGAGGCTTGAGTTTGAGTCAACAGTGATAGATTGATGATTGATGATTGATGGCTGAATGATTGAGTTCACTTGGGGATGCTTCCAAATCTTGTTCCCCCCCCTCATCATCAGTATCCTCATTGCTGTCACCGCCAGCTCGCTCTTCAACACCTCCATCAAATGTGTTGCATTCATCACTAGTGAGTGGCTGTTCTTCATTGTTGTTCAACGCAGCCATCACTTCCCTCATTGACTCTTCTCTATCTTTGTCGCTTAGTCGGCCTTCAAATCCGTTTTTCGTGTTTGGGAAGAGAATTTCATCCCATCAACAAAAATATTCAAGACACTTGCCTTCCTTCTTTTAACTCCACTGAGCAGATATTGCAGGTAGTTTTCAAAGTCCTCATGCCAGCTAATGCCAGAACCACTTCCTCGTTCTTTGAGGTGTTCATCAGGAAAAAGAGCCCAACAAGCCTGCAACTCTGGTAAGTCCCTAATCTGAAACTGACACAAATATTTTCTTACTAGAATAGCTGAACAGGCAATCATTTCTGGTGTGGTATGATTAAGTCCCCATTTCACAACCATCGTTTTGTTATTCCGCATTGTATGAGGTTTTTAGCCTGTGTCTGAAGTGCTTGCATCTGTTCTTTGATTGCATGGCCAATACCCCTCAAAGCTGCCTCAATGTCCCCCGCTCTCTGTTCCAATTTGTTAAGTCTCTCATTCAGGACCTGATAAGGTAGATCCTTGTCCTCCCCCTCCATTTTTTCATTCATACCAACTTCTACCTGAGAGACAAAAATTTGCCGAACCTTCCGTCCACTGGCAGGTGAAATTATTCCTGCTATTGAACATTAATTCCTCTTATTAGCGCATATCACACAGAAACTGATGGATATATACCTTAGTGCACCAATCATCTTGTTCATCATCTCATCCATGTTTTTTACCCGCTAAATTTGTATTTTTCCCTACTTTGTTTACAGAACCACTTGGACCAGCATTCACAGGCAAGTTCTAATTGAAACCAGGTATGTTGGTTATAGCTATATTTCTTCATTGGTGATACTCACTTCTTTGTTTGCCTCAGACATAACTGGATCGCCCAAGTTACAGGATTTGTCATCTTCACCAGTGATTTCCCTCATTCCCTCTTCTGTCCCTTGTCTTGTTGCAGGACTCGAGGGATTATATGCATACTGTTTGAGTTGGCTGTATATGTAATTCCCTTTATCATCAACAGGACAGCCCTGACCAAACCCAGCACATGGGCTAGGGCTTTTTGATGCAGGTCTTCCACATTCCACAGCCAACTCGGGCTCAGTTTCTGAATCCTCTTCAGGTTGAATCCTCTGCTGATCATCCTCAGTTTCTGGCTTCAAACCAGACTCTGAATCTTTGTCAATATTGTTCCCACCACCACCCAGAAGGATTGACGCGGCATAATTATAATATTATGAATGGGAACTATGGTAGTTGTGTTGATATGCTGGACGCCACAATGGATCCTGAAGTTTGTCTCCATCCGGTGACTTTGGTGTCCAGCTCTGGGACCCATTGCAAGACGGCTCATGATCACTGGTAGAAGGAGAAGTCATTAGGCCACTATGGTGCGAGACAAAATTTCAAGCTCAAGGATTTGTTAACATTAACTTCAGTGGCTTCAACCATGCAAGTTCCGTTAACATGACGTGACCTGCTCCATGGACGCCACAGTCTGTATATAAGAGCAACCATTGGGACATATTTATGTAGGTTACTCGCCCATTGTTTTTCCCTCTCTCTGCATCTCGGCTGCCATGACTCAATTTCTGGATTCCAACAGTGCCTATTTTTGTTATTGTTTACATTCTCCTCTGTGGTTCTTAATGTTGAGTGGGTTCCTCTGTTCCTTCCACTTATTCTCTCATCATTGTTGTCATAACATCTTACCTTTCAGTCCAGGCCTTCATCCTCAACCTCCAACAGGAAGCAATGTTACTTCACCCAGGAACGAGGTATGTTTTGAGCTTTACTTATGCAGACAATATTGTAATTTGCCATCTTGTTTGAGTAGGGTGCCATGGTGTCTGAAAATGGCCAGCCTTTGTACTACATGACAAAACCGGATAAACCCGGTCTCTGCTAAAGCAGCCATTGTTCTCTATGGAGCATAGCCACCACTCCATGGGGTCACCATTGTTCTCCTAGGAGCACAATTGTACTCCTAGGAGTCATTATACTGTAGCAAGTAGCACCTCCAACTATAAGTAGTAGGGGGTTTAGTATAGGAATACCTCAGTCGTTTCTATAGCCTCTCGGGCAGGGGCTGAGGTATGTTACATTACATTTATTAGAGATCACCTTAAACTAAGATCTATTGTAGTTTCACTTAGATTTATTACTACATTATTGTTCCTTACCCACCATATTTTTGATGCAGACAAACATGTACATCAACGAGCAATCAATCACATCAGAGTTAGAAACGCTTGTGGTATGGTATTACTCAATATGGAGCGCTACTGGATGTGTTACTCAAGTGTTACTCGTTACGAATGAGGTGTGTTACTCAATTGTTATTCAGTCATTACTCACAGTTTTGATAGAATAACAGGAAGTGAAATATTATTGAAAATGCAGTGAACATCAACCATTTGTATTAGTTATACTTCACAATGACATAATTTTCCATGGTTGCTTCTGCATCATTTTAAGTTCAAGGAAAATTTCGTTCGACCTTTTTGGTCATGAAAACCCTTTGTATGCCTGATATGTTGATTAAGGAAGACTCGGCATCTGAGCTCCATTATTGTGGCAATATTCATTATTACACTGAGTGGTATGACATGTCTAGTAGGAGGCATTCCTCTGGTCATTCTAATTATAGTGGTTAAAGTGATAATCTCGTTCAATACGATTCTGCTGGTTTGCGTGATGACTGTGGTTTTGCCAATTGGCCTGATCGGAAGCCGGTCTAGAGTGGACTTGCCTGATCAGATCCGATAATGCCTTGTCGCAGCCCCTTGCGGCTTACCATGTTCCCAAATCCTTGGCCACCTTATTAGGACCAATCAGGCCTTAATTTTTCCGACAGATGCATACGAAGTCTGTTTGACTTGTCACATCTTTTTACACGATACTGACATAAAAGAATCACTTGTGCACCCTTATCCACAAAGAGTGATAATGGAAGAAGCGTTGCGGTCAAACGAAGGTCTCATTTGAATGCCTAAACATGAATGTATGGTATAACACGCATATATGGGGCCGGACAATGTACACGAGGTAACGTCGAGGTTAGGTGACTTCAATTTTTCTGTGAGTCCCATGTTTACCAAAACAATGACAACAAGGCCAACTCACTGTTTGGCCTGATCGTCAAGACAATGTGCACTGAAAGCACAGAAAATAATGGTTGAATCTCCCCGAGTATGGACAACGGAACGAGTTCCAAGGCTTCATCTAAACCGCTGTGTGGAATTTAGATTTATATTCTGTCAAGTTAAGATAATTTTGCAAGATATTGCGATGCGTTGAATACTCTCTTCGCTCCGCTGAGGCGTTTGTCATTCCATTTCTCAGAGAATAGTGCCTATGCATACGTTGATGGGAACAGCTGGAAAGATATGTTTTGGACTCCGCGGTGTCGACATATCGGATGATCGTGGGAAAGGCTAAAATGATTACCATTGTGCAAATCCTGCGCCGTCCGACTCGACGTCGACTCGCATGTCCTCCTACTAATTTACTCTCGCCCTGACTGTGACGCTGACCACACCGTCCTCAACGCCATCGACGACGACGAGCACGACGTACTAACCGACTGCCACGATGACAACGACACCCCCCACGCCTACCTCCTCTTCCTCTTCCTCGCCGTTCCCATCCCTCTTCAACTCGACCTTCACTACACCTCCCCCCATCGACACTCCCTCATCCACCCCGTCCGACTCGTCAGATAGCGACTCTGTCCTCACCTCGTCTTCTGCGCTGTACTGTTCGTCCATTCCTTGTTCGCCTAGTCTGCGCTCACTAATGGTGTAAATGTTACCATGTATAATATACATTCTATTCTCACTCTCGCTATTCTTGCTATACTCACCGTTGCTCTCACATACACCACCCCTCTCTCCCCTACGACCCAACGCAACGTATTCGCTCTGCTCTCTTCTCCTATTACCACCCACCTAATTATACCGTTCTAATCATGTCTGTCCTTCATTCCCACTCTCCATCTTTATCCCACTGCATTTCCAAATATGCCCTGACGCCTTAATTACAACCCACCCCTCGCACCCACATGGCCTCTCCTCCACAACTCCTTTCTTCCCCCACCACCACCGACGACGTCTTCGACGTCGCAAACCATCCCTCCCTCACAGTATACACCTTCTTAGGTCCGTACTTTATACATACCCTCCAGCCTCTCTCCTAACCTCTCCCCTCTTTCTCTTCTCACGCACCTCTTCTCCTTTCCATTATTCGCACACATCCTCACGTCACACCCAACCTCGTTCCACCACATGTCGATCTACACCCAACCCACCTCCTCAACATTCTCCCTCACTCTATCCCGCCCTGCTTTAACAGCCACCCTCGTTCTCCTCCTTGGTGTATCATCCGCAATCGTCTTGCGCTCCCTCGTTCTCCGTAGACGCCATCAACGTATCGTCGAAGAAGCTATCCGCAATGGCACCTGGATCCCCTCCACCAACGCCAACGCCAACAACACCAACAATGGTAGAGGGCGCAGAGCAAAGCTAGGGGAGAAGCCAAAGTTGTGGGAGGTTAAGGTGGGCGAGGGAGATGACTGTGGTGGGATGGGTGATACGGGAGGGGACAGTGGAGACGAGAGAAACGAAAAAGGTACAAATTGGAATTGGAATCACATCACAGTACGTTTTCTCCATTTCCTTGCCTTTCTTCCTTGACCCCAATCGCATGTTCATTCGTACTAACCTTCTCCCTCTCCCCTCAGCCAATTTCAGCCTCCTACCTTCCCAACTCCCAAGCTTCGCCTTCCTTCCCTCGCACATCATCGCCATCGCCAAGCACCGAATTCAGCACGCATACAAGCGTTCCACGCTTCCTGCGGCCATTTACACGCTTCCGACTTCCATTTCCTTTCACAGCTTCGGCATCACCACAATCGCCGTCGATTTCGAGTTCAGATTCGCGCTCACGTTCTCCCCGTCGACCACGGTCTCCGCCTGGCACAAATCCAGCTGCGATATCAACACCTGCGGCTGTGACTGCGTCTGGGATGATGGACGCACAGGGAGGCGATCCCTCGACTGTTCGGCTCGCTGTGCTTATAGCGATGCCTGACCCGACCCGGTCCACACACTCGCTTTCACATTCGCACTCACTTTCGCGACAGCGCGATTCGACATGTTCGACGAGTAAGAGTGCAAATCGTGATGTGGGTGAGAGAGTTGTTGAGTTTGGATTGGTTGACGTAGTGATTGGACAGGAGAGTGAGGAGGCGCCGTGATGGAGTTATGAACTGTGGGTGGGGGAGAGGAGAGGATATATATATTTATTTTATATATTTCGTCGTCTTTCTGTTTGGTAGTGGCTGTGTACAGTTATGTGTACAGTGATTGCAGCATTATGCTGTTATATAGATGGGTTTCTGAAGGATTGCTTTGGCTATGTTTCTAGGTCTTTGGCCCTCATCTACCTTTACTAGGTACGTAACGTCTTTCGGTGGTATGTCTACTCTTAGTAGAACGTTTAGGGTTGGGGTTGGTCTCGAGCAGATATTTACATGGGTATCTACTTCTTCTGTCGCATGGGTGACCACGCCAGTAGATTGGAACTAATTTTCAGATATATAAGCAATGGGTATGAATCAGAGTAGGAGGCTAGCATCATGGACGAGTCTTTCCATGTCCCGGAGTTTCAAAACGTCCAACCTAACATCAAGCTCAGCGTGGTGCCACAATTCGAGGCGCTATAGCCAAGTGGTTACGGCGACAGATTCGAACGCTCGATCATCTGTTCCTCTTTGAGGGCGCAGGTTCAAATCCTGCTGGCGTCGGCTTTGTTTTTTTGTCTCGTTCCATATGTTTTGTCTCGGACTCTCGCCTCATACATGTGGGCTACCTTACGATTCAGCCTGTCAATTTGGTATAATAATCAGAGCCGTGCAGCATTTCTTCTGTCATTTTCCATTACCATGTCTTCGATTCACGACTTGCAAAATTCTATTCCAATGGCTGATACGAACTTGAATCAGTCGTCTCGGAGCAGCATGACCAGTTCTTCGGACACAGATGACTCTGATGCATTTTCTATCTCAAGTTCTGGATTGACCACGCCCGCTGACGAGGATCCTCAGTCCGACTACTTTCCAGAGGATATAGATGAAAAAAGCAAGACCTCAAAGCCCAAATATCCTAGTCTTGGCAACTTGAAGGCGTGCACCTCCGATTTCCAAAGTTCATCACCACGACCACTCTCAGCAACGCTTCAGAAGGCCAAAAGAGTTGCGCAGAATATGATGGCATTCAAACGAAAGGCTAGTATGCGAAAGCGGTACGCAACCGATCATGAGTCTGAGGTACGTTTCTCGGATTGTGGAACTATATGGCGCAACTTGCACTGATCTTCTGTCATCATGATATAGCGATTTTATACTCTCCCAAATCAGTATCTCACTGAGACTATCGATGTCTCAGAGGTTGGTCTTCACTCCTACAGCGTGTATTGCGTTCTGACCCTTTACATCCTCCCTGACATCACTTGATGCTCGAAGACCGATCAACAAGAGAGCTTCGATACTGTCACCGAGTCCTCCATACAAGATGCCATCGGGCCAGAAGATGCAGAGGAACATCACTCCCTAAATCCACGCCGTGTCCCTTTGTCTTTGAAGACAACCATCCTGGCAGCTCTAGGAACAGGAAACAAGAGTCTCCCATCCAGTTTCATAATTCTCGCCTGCAAGCTTATCTGTTTCATCCCTTGGTGTATATCCGTTGGTGGAGCTATCGTTCTCTTTCCAAATCATATGGAGCTCGTCGCATTTACCCCAGGATATCTTTCCTCTCCGAAAGGGCTACGTCGCTTCGCTCACTGGGCTGATTGTGCTTATCATCACATCATGATTTTTCTTTCCGTTGTTGTTGTGCTCACATGGTACAATCCGCAACTTGGCGTTTCTTTGGGAGGCGCTGTTTCAGCTCGCGCGTTATACGTTTGGAACAATTTCTCTATTGACAAAACCATCCCTCTGGGCGAAGATGACCAACAAAGTCTGTACTTAATAATGACAGACTCGGCATTCAACGACGATCGTGTCATCATAGGAAGATCGCCGAATAACTGCGATACGATGATTCTGTCATCGTTAGATTCCAATATTGATAATATAGATACATTTAACTAAAGCTTCGTGTGTATGATATCCTATTGTGCTGTAATGAATCTAATGAATCTAATTACACGGATATTTAATGTGCATCACGGCTAGCTTTGGCTTTTGCCGCGTTCTTCAGTGAATCGAACATCCCACTGTTGAGACACATATCCCTAAAAATACCATCCTCTTTGTTCAGCAGATTCAGAGGTGTGTCGAACTCTGCAACCTGAATGTGATATTTTAGTAGTGATACAAGGTGAAAACGGGAGTCACATACCTTGCCCTTGTCTAATACGAGAAGTCGATCATAGTCGATAACAGTTTGTAGGCGGTGAGCGACTGGGAATATGCCAGGTGAGACGATTATGATAATAGTGAAATGTGTATCGATAATACCTGTTAGCAATAGCGAACCATTAAACTCCTCCCGAATCGTCATCTGGATCTTTGCATCTGTGGCAAAATCGATGCTGCTCGTTGCTTCATCAAGAATAACGATAGAGCTTCTGCGCAAAAGAGCACGGGCTAATGCGATTAACTGCCTCTGCCCTTGGGAGAAGTTTGCGCCTCCAGCAGACACTTGCATGTCCAAGGTTATAACTGTGCGGAAATCCGTATCCACCGCAGTACGGGAAGCCGATGAGATTGAATCTGGGCGTTCATATTTATGAATAAACCATATTCTATATAATGCTCTGAGACCCACTCACTCTCAAAAGTATCTTTTTCACTTATCATTTGAACACGATACAATGCATCAAGACATTCACTATCACCGTGTTCGCCTGTTAACTTTGTAAGTGACCGTGTTAAAGCTAAGAAAATACTTTTCTTTACCGAAAGGGTCAAGATTATCGCGAAGGGTACCAGAGAAGAGTGTTGCGTCCTGTAAGAAGAAATTAACTAAAAACTCGAATCATAGTTTAAATGAGTGCGAACCTGAGGAATGAATGTCTAATGGAACTGGTGAGTTAGTCTGCTATATAAGACGTGCAAATGTGCATACCAAGCGTGAACGTAGATCATGAAGGCCGATAGTTGAGGTGTCAATTCCATCAATAACAATTCTTCCACTAGAAGGGTCGACCTAAGAAAAATGCTAAGCGAATTGAAGGACGAGACAACAGTCAGGACCTACAAAGCGTAAAATGCTCATAGCAAGAGTAGACTTTCCGCTCCCAGTGCGTCCTAGAATACCCACTCGTTCTTTAGCCTTGAGGGTGAATGAGAGGCCATTTAACACAGGAGGCAAGTCTGGCGCATATTTGATAACAAGATCTTGGACAGAAATCAGTGACTCCGCAGAGTCAGATGGCCAGTATGCCGGGGGTCTGTTAGATTCTATTACAGCTGGTGGCTCTTGCGGAAGATCCAGATACTCGACAACTCGTTCAACGGAGCTACCAAATAGTGTTAGCAGTAGTTTCGATATGCTGGATAACGGAGCATACTTGAGATCAAGTTCCAAACCAGTCCAGAACTGACACGCCCAATACACATTAAATGTGAATGACATAGCACTCGTTATGCAGATACCGGCGAGACCTGAGCCGGCAAGGCCGTACAAGGCTATTAAGGTCGTAACCAAAATGGAAATACCACCAAGGATGTCGAAGTTAAGCAACAGCCATCGATTGGTCATCCAGAAGTTGTACCACATCTGTTCATTGAATTTAATGCATTTACACAGGATATTAGAAGTGAACATACCATAGTAGTTTTATCGATTTTGACGTGCAAGTCATCTAGGAAGCGCTTCTCCGCTGAGAATGCTCTGACTGTTACGATTCCTTCTAACAGCTCGCTAAATCCGGAAAATATAGGTGAACGTGAGTTCGACTCCATACGACGAAGATCACGACCAGTGTTAAGGTAACCGATGGCAAGCTGTCTGTACACCAACGATATGAAGAAGGCGGGTATGAGGAACGACGGGAAGAACACGCTGAATAATGTACTGTCAGGTTTACAAGTGTAGATAGATATTAAATTTCACACACGCAACAGTAACTATGGCTGCCGCGAAGCTAGCCAAGGTCGTGTTCACAGCTGCTAGATAGTCGGATAGTGTACTATCTATCGTTTCCATGTCCTACGAAGGCAAATTAGCGCAAATCATTCTGTGTGCATTGTAACATACTTTTCCGAAGCGATTTAGCATTCGACCTATTGGCAATAGTTAGGACTGTGTACAAAATGATAAAGATAATCAAACCTTGAGGGGTTGTGTCATGCCAACGCATAGTAGCCCTCACTACACCAACAAACATCCGCGAGAACAATCGGCGAGAAGCCCTGATGCCTCCGATGTACTGGGCCGCAGTACACAAAAGTACGATGACAGTCACACCACAGCCAATTGCGCCGTATATTCCAACAAAGAACAGGGGATGCTCTCCAGCATCTGGTAAAGCGCCGAATGAAGACACTGAACGCTGAATCAGTGGTTGCGTCCCTGGGTAATGCTGGGAGTTCCATGGTACCGTCTCATTCGCGAATGGCTCGAACAACTCTAACAACGGGGAGTCATACGCCTCTCCCCAGGCCTTAAATGGGGGGTAAGGGTTAGTAAAGCTGGAACGTGAATGAACTCGATGTGGCGTACTCTGATCCATAGCTTCTGTGCTACGCCCAAGCTCTAATATAGGAGTATCAGTAAAATATCATTTAGTCAATACGGAGTCTAATCACTTACTTCCTTTACAATAATCAAGAACCAAAGGACAAACCAAGTCCAGTAAGAGCTATGAATTGTTCAATTATTCAGTTTTCCCTAGATAGGATTCGATTTGATCAATAATAACGTACGAAGCATGTAGGTAAGTCTTATATATAGACCACTTCACGGAACCAGTCTCCCGATGTTCCTCCTGGATGAGTTTTGTTGATTTCTTTGTAACCAGCACAGTATCTTCAATTCCTTCAGTTGTATCCTTCACTTTTTCTTCTCTAACAGGTTTGGATAGAAGAGGTTCCTGGGCCTGAACCGTGGAGTCCGATTTTGTCACATCAAGGATACCCAGTGCACGAAGGTCCTTCACAACTCCTTGTAAATCCACGTGGCCGTCCGACATTCGTACAAGGTAGTGCGCTCCAGGAAGCACAAGCTCAGTATGATGGGTAACGAGGACCTTAGGATGGGAATGAGTGGTTGTATTCTAGTGGGCACTCTAAGAAGATTTAACTCACCACTGTGCGACCTTTCAGCAGGGGACCACAAAGTAAATGATGGAATAAGAAACGGGCCGTATGACTATCCTACTCAGAAGTGAGTGCAATACACGCATATAAGCTATTTTAAAAAAAATTAAAAAATTAAAAAAACTCACAACAGCGCTGAGAGGATCATCTAGTAGCACATATTTGGTACGAGCGTATACAGCACGGGCTAGCGCAACTCTGACGATGTATGAGCATAAACTCCTTATTCCAATGAAAAATTACGATAATACCTAGCTTTCTGCCCGCCTGAAAGACTGACGCCCCTATGATGTAGAGAGTAGGAAAGTCAGCGTTTATGACTCATTGAATGGCCCATGGAAAAATTGCAGACCTCGCCCCTATCTCAGTCGCATCGCCGTCCTCTAGCATGGCAAGGTCAGGCTTTAGTGCGCAGTACTCAATGACCGCTTGATATCTCTCTTCGTCATATGGGTAGTCGAACAAAATGTTGTCTTTGATAGACTGATGTCTGAGCCACGGAGCCTGCGCACTATACGATATAGCATGCATGAGTCCATTCTCGTCTACTTGTGAAGGATTCTTTGACATTATTAGCCGACTACCAGGCAGTGCAGTCATCTCGCCAAGCAGGGCCATCTATAATGAGTAATAATTTGACGATCATTCATCGCGAATAAAAGCTTGAGCGTACCAGTAGAGCGGTTTTCCCACTTGCAGTTGGACCTGTCACCACCGTCAATTTACCATCGGGGAACATGACAGAGATATCTTTTAGTTTGAATTGATAACCAAGCGTCTTGGTACAAGAGAGTGACTCGAGAAGAATTGCGGTTTCTGCAGATGGGGCCTCGCCAAAGATGTTCTCCAAAGGCGCATTACCATCGTCAACTCTGTTCCATATAAAGGATCCGCGGTCAATGCCAAATCCTTCGGTTTCTTCTGCCATGCGTGCTGAAGATCTCTTTAAGGAAGAAACGTTTCCATCCACTTCGTCTTCGTCCAAAAATGTTGCAATACGCCCAAGAGCTACGTTTGCCTGAGGATGATGCATAGATTGAAACCAGAATAAGCCTCTTCAGAACACCTATACATGAAAAAGTAAACGCACCTGTAAAATTCGTACCGTCCACAGCGGTATTAGATTCAGGGGCAGTCTGATTGAAGGTCGAGCAAATATACAAATACAAGTGAGTTGAGCTCAAAGCAGGATATACAATTGTTACTTACGCGAGCATATTAAATAATGTTATAGCCTGAGATCAATGTAATCAGGACATAAGTTCGCTATAGAAGAAAATAAAACATACAGTAAAAGCAGTCCCAATTGTCAATTGATTTCCTAGGAAAACATGCGTTGAAAACGCGATGACGGAAATAACCAATGGTGCTGACTGCCAGAGTAATACAAAGATCATATAATTAAGTCGTGCTGAACAATGAGTTTAGCATGACTGATCAAATGCCAATGGTTGCAAACCTTACATTTAATCATCCAAGATAATTCTAATTTGCGTGCATCAAAAGTACGGTTGATCCAACGGTCCTCCCAGGCGAAGAATTTTATAAATTTCAGCTGAATCAGATATCAGCTACGTCAGCGATATAGGAAACCAAGCCACTTACAGCTGTGATCACTTCATTGACGATGCTCATACGCTTGTCTCTGGCAGCTAACAGGTTCTTCTGGATAAAAACACTTCGCTTAGCGACCCAGCTGTTGATAGGCAAACCAGCGAGCACGACAAAAACCCCAGCAAAGGCAGATAGGCCAAGCAACCTAAACAACCAATCAGAATAATTCCAAGGTGAGTTACAGGAGGAAAACACACTGGTACAAGAAGAGCAAGCAGATAATGAGCTCGAAAGGAGCTTGTCGAATATCAGCATAAATAAGTGTATACTTCCACCTATTAAAACAACACAGCCTACCTCCGTAGATTAAGTATACTCCTTGAGCAGTTTGCGAAATCTGTATTTAAAAGTGAGTGGCATCCAACGCATAACGTGATGTGGACCTACTGTGTTAACATCGCCAGCCATTAGATTGACTATCTTTCCGATATCGGCTCCAGTCTTTTTGCGAACTTCTTCCTCTTCGCTCGAAATTGAAAAATGTGCGCGCCATAAGATTGGAAGAGCACTCACCTGCGGCACCGTCTTCATCCTTCATTTTCTCATCTTCGGCAGCCCCTTCGTTCGTGATACCTGAAAAGTCTTTACGTTTCAATGCCTTGTCATATATTGCAGCCATGAGCTCTGAACGCATTCGCGTGGCAGCGCGTAGACCAAACCATAGGTGATGCATTTCGCACTGTGACTGGAACAAAGAGCGTCAACAAAGGAACCTTAATCGCAAGGAGCAAAACGCTACTTTGACGACAGTACAAGCGAAAGCTATAAAAGCGTAAATATAAGCGCGAGCTCGATTTTCCTTATTGGGTGTGGAATCGTCGATAGAATCCAGGATGCGTCTGTAAAACGAGTAAAATGAATAGAATACAAATTCGCGAGGAGCAAAAGCGACCTTACTTTAGGAAGAACGGTCCGGCATAACTAAATGTAATAGTGACGATTGTCAGGATACATTCAAGGCTAATATATATCGTTAATGCCGAGAAAATAGCAAAAGAATTGAAAGCACTGACATGAGATCGTGTGCGTTTGCCACCCAAATGCGACGAAGAAGTGAGGAATCCCTGTTGGCCGGGTGTAAATATGATATGCGAAGTGAAATACATTGACAAACCTGAAGGACATAAACCGAACAAAAGTGGGGCGCGATTGCATCGTGATACTGACATTCCATACATCTGGCTCGTTCAATGTGGCGTGTGTTCCCTGAAAACGACCTTAATCAAAGGGAAATATATGCAAAAAAAGCAAATTAACCAACTCTCTTAATCAATGGGTATACCCAGCAGAATGTGATCCAACCCCATAGCGATGTATAATCTTCTGGAGAAATGGATTTGCCCTACACCCAGGATATGGTCAGGGGGTTTAACAGGGTATTAAAGGTAGAACATACAATATCCTCCTTCCTAATCCTCGTGCTTGGTATAGCCAAAGGCATACCAAGAACAATAACCAATGCAATAGCAACGGTGACGATATTGGCCACCATCGAAGCAATAACATAACCCGAAGGAAGCGCAATATCCCAGACATATGCTTCATAAAGAACACCTCCCAGAAGGAGGATACCGGACATAAGATGCGTGATGTAAAGAGAGAACAGATCGAAAGGAGGTGTGATGCTCGGCCAGATGATGGGACGGAGGGAAGCATAGAACCATGTGATTGCAATTAATACCGGCGGTGATGTGGATTCTGCTCTGCGCAAACTAAAAGGCATGATACCGACTGCAGACCATGCAAAGGTTTCCAACAAGGCAATCCAGGATAGATATAAATTTCTCCGCCTTGAAAAGTAGGTTCTTCCCCGGATACTCCCCTCTCCAAAATCATCTACTCTTCCTGGTAACCGGTTTGTAACAGAACTTCCATCCAGTTCTAAGGCTTCCGCTTCGTCGATTGTGATGAATCGCCTTCTTGGGATCTTCGCGACCTTGAAGAAGCCTTGCGTCCATGCGGGAGATGGTAGTGACAACACACAAAATAATAAAACGAGTGCTACAGGGACGAGGGAGCTCCAGTAACGTCGAACGCACGCATCTCGAAAGTCGAAAGGACCATAGTCAGCACAGAGATGCGGACTCCGAAACATGGTCAGTGACAATTAGAGAGAAGGCGCTTTCGACGCTTCCCGTTTTCTCGAGGGTTTGGGACTATAAGTGAAAACCTAGAAATCCGCGATCATATCGGTTACTCCGTCCGTTGATATTTTACACGTTATACCGGGTCCACGCCAAGGTCCGCGATATGTAATCTCCCACTGGAGCTTCTTGACCTGGATTCCATTCTTCTCCTCCTGTTGCGAACTTGAGCTTTGTGGGTAATCTGAGCGATAGATATGCAAAAACGACGTGAGTTCATCAAATCTGTGATATCGCCCCCGATTCGGCCGCGGAGCATTTAATTATAATATCTGAGCGATTTAACTGCGATTTCCTACGTTTCTGATTGTTGAGCCCGGTTCGTTCACAGATGGCCGGGCGTCTCCACGTATATTTTCCAGCACCCTGGTTCTTTTGTGGGAGCTTACTAGTATGAACCCGAATTCTCGTTTCGCAACCGACACCACGCTACGCCGGACTAGAGTGAGTTCACAGCATACTAGTTTCGAGCGTTACTTGGACACCTACCTTTGCGGACTTACGATAGCAAAGGCGTTATTACCTCTCTACCGTCACGGCGACTTTGTGGAGTCTTTGTGGCCCATCTTGCGTTGTCTCCATATGTATGTACAACGATCAGGACGGAATTTTTCGTAAGTTTCGTTGTATCTTCTTGGCGATTAGCACCAGTGGCTTGCCTAACGATGGGCGTTTAGCGTGTGAGCATATTTCGCCTGGACTCAGAAAAGCTTCACGGACTTTGAAAATTATGCCTTCAAACGCATTCAAATCAAATTTCAGTGTACTATCTGAACTTGCTTTCCCAGCTCCCGCGAACACGATGTGCTTTACAGCGTGCTAGTATCTTTCGAAGGAAGGGCATGGGATCCATCTTGTTCTCGACCAACATTTCCCCATGGGGCTGAGTATATTGTTTGGTTACATAGATTCTAGAGCGCTCACGATACGACTCGGAGCAACGTCTTCACCAAATTCAGTGTTTGACCAACTCTCACAGATTATTCTTCTCATCCCTGAGTCATTTCTCCCTTATGACCATGTGAGCGAAACAATCCTCTAGGTCCTCGGACAGACGCTAATGTCTCTTTATTTTTGGATAACACCAGACATTACACGCTACATCCAATCAAAGTAAGTACATGTACTTCGGAGCTGTGCTAATACCGCCTTTTTTTTACAAAACTCCACCTGACTCCTTTTCCCTCGGGGCGTTTTATGAAAGCTAACGTTTATCGAGGCAAGTGAAATGCTATTCGGTACTCGCGCTCAGCAGGCAGCCATGATACCCGGAATTGGGCAACTTGAACTCCGTTGTATTTATATGTGATTCCCGCTATTGTTATAGCTTGAATGCCGCAAGATCTGTTATCAATATTCATCTTTATTCAATCATCGAAGTATATTTCACCGCCTACAACTTCATCAATCTTCTATAGCCGTTCTTTAACAACGCACTACGGACCGTAACACACAGGCGGCAGTCGTACCATTAAACCCACAATACAAATCACTATACAATTTGCCTATTTCATCCGCCAGCACCGTCGTAATCGGTGTCTTTTGATGGTACAACTTTGTGGCTATAATACTTAAAGCAGTCCAATATGGAAGCCTGCACGTTACTATACAGTAAGTCTGAATATTTCCCTCCCCATAAGTATGCAATATCGCTCGAAAAGTTTTTCACCTCATCACATTGCAAGAGCTCTACCTCTTTTAGTTAGCCATATTTGTTGCAACTACCGGCTTCCGCTCACCACTCAATCATATTCTGCAGATATGACCCCCACTGGCAGTTCTCCTGTTCATGCTTCAGCTACGGCTCGGTCGATACTGTAATCATGGTGACTATTGCCACACCTGAGATATTGGCACCCTACGCGAAGTGCTTTGGGTCGTCCTGACAGTTGATGCGATTATGTCCTTCTAGACATATTCACGTGGATCAATAATTTGACATGACCTGCAACCGTGATGCCCGTGCTGGCATAAAGTATGCAAGATAAGTGATAAGCTCGCACTTTTCGAGCGCAAATTCCTGGATGGGAGCTTTCTGAATCTCATGCTGTACTATCATGATGACACGTACAGCAAGTCGTACCGTACAGCGTCATGGCGTCCTTCTTTAGCTTATCAATGTCGTAAGGCAACAGCAGGTGATCCAATCCATTCGTGGTGCCGATGAGTCTTGAACAAAGTCAGTACAGGCCAATTTACTCCCATAGACTAAGCCCCGATCTGCTAGGATACGGTTCATTATGGCATCCTCTTCGGCCTCATTGGCCTATCAACTGCAAGCACTCAAGGTAAGTTGCCTTGATCTTGCTCTGATAAGCGTATTACTCCGATGATTAAGTTGTCAGCATCTGTCTAGTATGTAGCTGGTGCGTAATTGGATTGAAGAGCTTATAGAGTTGTAAAATGAACTAACATTTATTTTTGTGATTGCTTGTCTTCCTGTTTTAGTTGGTTATTAAGCTGCCAGCTGTATATATCTTGAAATCAACATCTCTACATCGTAGGTCTTAGATTACTGCAATACATTGGAGCGCGAGGTAAGGTCGTTTCCATTCCAGTGGCCGAATTCAATAACATTAATGCCAGGTCGAGTTGATTTGGCAATCAGTGTTCTTATTTGCCCACTATCATATGTTCATCTTGACCATTCCGAGCATGATCGGGGAGTAGTTGGTCTATAGAACTTGGAATGATATTTAATCATATCGTATTCGGTTTCGTCGGCTTATGATATGTCACCAAGCGTCAGCATTTGATTACTGTTTTCTTTTGCCTACGAAAAGTCACAGTGACATGTCTTACAGGTATGTAAGCGGGCAAATTTTGCTAGCGGAGGTAAGCTAACATGAGCTTTGTCTTGAGTTTCTCACTCACGAGTCCACATAGTCCTTGGAACATCGGCCGTCGTTCTCACAGAAGGTGACCATTTCTGTATAACCAACCCACTGAAAAGATAGGAATGTTGACGCCAGCGTAACCAAGCAATTCTTGTTCTTCGAACGTCTGCCGTTTGGCATGAAAATAAGGGGCTCCATTTCTTATTGTGGTCCTTGTTTTCTGTATGATTTATTCTATCATAGCTTTACTTGATGTGATGAAAACAACTTGATGGCTGTAGGCTATACTTATGATGACGATAATCACCTCCTTCATGTACATTGACCTTTTGGTTTGTGAGTCATCCTAACCGTTATTTCTTTGCATTAGTCATATAGTTTGAGAACAATCGTCCAGTTACCGAACTCGCAAGGATGCGATCCTATACTGCACTCGCACGATACCGCGTACTCAGTGACAGTCATGGCATGTGTCATATTTCTTGAAACCTGTAAATTTCTATATCAAATCCAAGTTTCATATATCCTTGCCCAACCCTGTCCATAGTACTCTCAAGCCTTCTGCTTTATCGAAAGGTCAAGTTCCTCCGCCACGGTAAGAGTCCTCTAGTCAGGACTATCTTCAAGGATGGAATCATCTTTTATTTCTGCACTCCAGATAATGTCCTGTGTGTAAATTTATCTACGATTTTGTTGACAAAGAGCTAAAACATGATCTGCTTTAGGCGGGCCTAAGATTTATCTTGGACATGTATGTAACCCTTCTACTGAGAATAAGCGATTCGATGAGAGTATTAATTCACTCCTAGGCCATACTACACCTTGCACAGTGCTCTGGCGTGTCGCGTACTTCTCCACCTACGGTCTACCGACCCCGGCAAATATGACACGATAAACGCACCGTCTCAACCTATCCAGTTTGCCCATATCACTCAGCGGTATCGCAACAATCAATCATTCTTGTCCACGGGGCCCGTTTCCGTAGCAGATCATATTTGAGCGATCGAGGTTGATGGTTTGGATTCGGCGAGGACAGCAAGTGTAAAACAGAAGAACAGAAGGGGTGTCGTATAAAAACACATTCATGATGAAGATGTTCATTAAAAGGAAACACTTGGGGGCCGGGGGATTAAATTTTTCATGTTTGGGTTGTTCTAGTAGAGCAAAAGGGAAATCTGAATGCACATGCCACACTGTTATCGTTCGTTGACTGCTGCTCGCTAGACTTCGCTTTAGAAAACGGGCAGATAGAGGAGCTGAAGACCATTGCTCTATTGGCATCCGTCACATTCTTGACACATATATATTGGGATTTCCCAGGCTTGTCCACTGATGAAGCTTTAAGAGAGCACATTATCTCGATAATTATATCTCTCGAATCATATAAAACAGAAAAAGCTTTTTGACGGATTTCAGGGGCACACAGCAGATGTAAAGAGCCATTTACGCCTTGCCTGCTGACCCGAAAAGCTTCATGAAGCGCTCACATACGGACGCAAACACCTCTGTGGCCTCCTCGACAGCCTCTGGGAAAGATTTTGTTTGCAATCCAATTGCAAGTTGTTTGGCGTACGGATCGCGACCCCAACTGTTGACATTGATCTATTACAGACATCAATCCATAGGCAAAGCTCAGACGAACGAAATGCACACCTTGCTAACCCCGTTCTTTATACACTCGACAAACAAATTGTCTGGGAGTTCATCTGTACCATGCAAGCATAGAGGAATTTTACCTTTGAATTTCGACTGTAAATCCTTAAGACTGTTCAAGAGAATATTGGTACGTATGTAGGGAAGATAGTATAATTAAATATACTAACATGTCCTGTCTGAAGTTTGGCGGATTGATGTAGGAACCGTGGAGATTGCCTATACTAGGAGCCAGAACAAGCGCCCCCGTTCTGATATTAATAGTTAGCGCTTAGATAGTTATTTTAGAAACGATAAAGATACCCTTTCATAAATGTTTCAGCCTTGTCGGGATTCGTTAGCTTCGCATCCGAGATCATTCGCAGGCCTGCTTCACCGCCCTCTAGACGTCCAAGCTCAACTTCGACAGCGATACCACATTTTTCAGCACGCTGAACGTAGGGTCGAGCGAGTACGATATTTTCTTCATCAGTCTATATATCACCTGTAGGTTATGAGACCGATGTCATGGGAAAGAACGACCACTCGCATCAGCATGGCTGGCATCGACCATGATGCTATCAAAAGCGATTCCCTGTTCTGCGAGGCTGAGAGCGAGCTCAAGATGTTCGGGGTCAGTCGCATGATCAAGGTTTACAGCGATAGGGACGGATGCTTGATGAGCGCTATAGACAAGGACTCAAACTATATATGTGTCCAAATGAATTCAAATATTTACTCACGCATTCAAACAGAATTGAAGGAATGGCCCTTTACCATATGCCAAAGTAATCGGGAAAAGGTTGACAACGGCAGGACTTCGACACCGCTCTGCGGCTCGCACGAGTCCAATCACTGAGTGGGCATCGTAGCTACATCATACACGTAAGAAATTGACGCATGGCTAGGCTGAATAAAGTAACTCTCACCAGCTCTGTGCCAGAATACCATAACCTTCGTCCTCAGCTTTCCTGAGTATGTCCAGGGTTCGGTTGCCTTTCAGTGCCATTATTTGGTGGTGAACTGGGAAGTGTGTGTCCACAGAAACAAACTGTGCGAGTTGAAAGAGATAGCAATAATAATGGCATGACTCTAAAGAAAAGCTGTAAGCTGAAGCTTGAAGTTTCGTGGGTTAACTTTTAGTCTGGTGACTGGAAGCGTGACTGGACGATCTTTGTTCGATAAGGTGCGGGGAATGTCGGACCGGCTGTTGTAATCGGTCGAGTATTATCCGCGACCGCCCATGACATGCATGACATACCACTGACCAGATCGCTACTACTTTGGTTCTAGTACTGCTATCACTGGCAGTATGTGCTAACACACTTGCAGCTTTCAATGAATTCTCTTTATTTACTCATCATTACTCGGTTAGTATCTGCATCAACACTTTGTTTTCATTCCACCCTTGGCTTATCATTGCTAACGCTGCGGTGATAATGAGTTTGCAACCTGCCGTAACGACGATATCTTTTCTGGAACGACAGGAATACCAACGTTATCGACGTCGTCTGGTCGTGTCCCGGACTTCACAAGGGACGTGTACAATACTTGTAACACTGTTGGTAAGTTTGTAATGTACTCGCAAGAGTCGAAAAACATGACTGACCGCGGACTATATACTGTACAGCCTTCTTTCTACTGCGATGATAATTAGCGTTTGAGTGGCTTTTGTGTTACTTTTTTAGAAGACGATATTGAGCTTTTCTATGAACTTCGTCGACCAATGTAAACCTGTCTATCAACTCACGGCAACGATTAACTCTCGCTCTTTGTGCTAAGTGGTCTATCTAGTCAGGCAACATGCATTATCAACCATCCCAGAACGTTATGCTGAATTAGGCATAATGTCCCACTCATGAGGTCACATTTGTTGCTATCAAAACACGCTGTCTAGTTGCTTGTCTGTACGGCTTTTGGAGTCCATTACACGTATTGCTGTGCTCCGACTTCCAAGGGCTGTGACTTGTCATGCTCTGCATCGCCCGCCGGTCTATCTTCCACCACTTCAAGCGTCAAAACAGAGTTCCATTGTCTAAGGTAACGAAGTAAGGTAATTCGTTGTTTTTGATCATAATCGATGGCTACTTTGTCTACTGTCCTTGACATTCCTTCTGCTTATCAGCTTCAGCTGGTCAAGGTGAGTAACTCCCTAATCGTTAGGTGTCCGTTTATTGATTGCTATTCGTATGAGTTTTATAGTATGCCAATGGTACGTAGGCTTAGGTAAATTATGGAACCACAACATGCTGATAATGTTTGCGATTCTTTTCATCGACAGTGGCATGTTTAGCTATTCTGGTTGTTATCCTTTGATTTCTGTTGCGTATAATATCTAACATACGTGCTATAACAGGTAGCAGACTACGCTACCACATTCGAACAAGAGGCGAGTATACTTTCCCCAAAGGTTGGATATGTCATTGCACTCTAATACGCAACCCCGAGAGCAGGTTAACCTGGTGTGGAAGTCGAGATGGGGAACTGTCAGGGTTTTATATACTTTATCTCGTTACGCTATATTCGCGGCAATGGCCTTATTCTTGGCAGGTGAGCAATCAGAGAGAATCGGCATGTAACTCTATGTTCAACGTCAAATCTAGCTATCCTGGAACCGGATACACCACAAAGAGTGCGCTTACTTGCAATCCATTCTACCGATATGTTATCTTTACCTATCGTTTTCACTAGGTATGCAAGACCTTGAACTGGGCTGTGACAGGTTGGGTTCTGTAACCATCAGCATGCACTACTATAAAAGTTTACATTGATATGCGGACCAGGGTTATTGTTATGTGGAGTTTCCACTTCAGAAGGTTCTTCCTTGATCATATGGTTCAAAGTACAATTGGATGCCTAATCCATTTCACACGTTTCAGCGATACTTGTTCTCAGGACACTCGCGGTATGGGATAACGACAGGACATTACGCGCGTGGTTGATATCTTTCTATTTGGTTCGTTGTGGCCCCGACAACTCTATTGTCAGTCATTCTAACAACTTCTCTAATAGGTCATTGCCGCAGCGTTCATACCAGTTTCTATACTATTCACTGTTTCTTGTGAGTTTCTCTGGCTCGTTCTACTCCAATACATGGCTTGATGCTTGAAGGGAAAAGATGGCGATGCGGTCGACATCCCTGGATGCAGGCCAGTTCTTATGAGGGAAGACTACATGTACGCAATTTTATTTTTGATGATGCTCTTCAACACAGGTCAGTCCTCTAAGTTAGCGCAGATCAGCCCACTTCTCACCAACTAAAATCATGCGTGTAGTTCTTTTAATTCTGATGACATATCGTGTAGTCAAACACTATCATGGATCGAAAAATCCCCTCTTGCGTACTTTGTACAACGACGGAATTTTATTTTATTCCTGCATCGCTAGTGAGTTGGTAAAAAGCCAATCTATGCATTTTCTAAGCCTGACTTGACCTCTTTCTAGTTGTATCAGCTGCCAATATCGTTGCGCTTGCTGTCTTGCCTGTTGGTGTCATTTCAACCGTTCTATAAAGAGTCATGCCTGATTTTTTCTTGTAGCCGACGCTAAAAAATATTCTACAGAAGTACGCAATCATCTTCTCCCCAACTTTGGGCACATCCTTAGCTCTAAACCTTTCGTCTTCGCATTTAGCTTTCACTACATCATGCATAGCGTGCTCTCATGTCGTATTATTCTCAATATCCGCGCAGTCGACGCCGCCAGGGTTGGGACGCTGGGTCACGACGTATCACGCTCTATTCACTTTGCTCGTGGCGATATACCTGATCTGTCGGTCTTGACAGACATCAGGGAAACGGATGAAGAGATAGATGCTACTTCTATTATCGACTTCGCTGCGTGAGCTATTTGGAACCATAATTAAGGATTTACTATATGAAAAACGATGAGACATCGTAATTTAATCACACCAGCGTCGGAGGAGACTTGTTTTCGTATATCAGTAGATCCGAATCCGAGTGTATGACTCGGATAGGTATTCCACGGCTACTAAACGCTTATCTTGACAATACTAGTACTCTTTCATAATGCACATGTTGGGTCAACATCATACAAGGACTACTTTGATTAATTAGGCATTTACCCATATTACTTGATAGTTAGCAATACTATAAATATCGGTTCGCTGCTGCAAAGTATACCTCAACTTGCGAGGCATATTCATAGACCTTCCCCCGAAGCAGTCCACCATACACTAGGCAGGTGTAAAGGACGCTGTGACTGATTTTCCCACCACATTACCATCTTCAAACTCCTACCCCACGCATTTGACTGTCGCGGTACCTCGTGGCCCGCGGATCCCACCTGCCATGCAGGGGCTCACGCCACGACCTGTTGGCAAATGCAAAGAGGCAGCTAATCACCAGAAGTGCGAAGACGACGAGCCAACCAAGCCACGCGAATGCAAGGAGTGTGGTAAGAATGCGACATGCCCAGTAGTGCTGGCACCACATCAGTTTCCCCCATTTGGTCTGTTTCGAAAACTGAGGTAAGTAGAGTACGGGAGGGTACGAGATGAGATACACACGGGGTCAACACCTGGAGAGCGACTTGCGGTAGCGATAGCTGCACCAACGAGCCAGAGAAGGAAAAGAATAAAGAGACCAATGATCTCCTCCATGAAGGTATTTAGGAATCTGTGTTCGTATCGCCCATAGATGGTGCGTGCTCTACCGTCACGATAACAGTTATGTTAAAATCTTGAGTAAATGTAGCACACGACGTACATGAACGTGGACCAAAATAGCGTTATGACAGTGGTCGCTGTGAGCTCGGCCACGATGGGATCTGTGGTTCAGTGGATGAGAACACGAATGTACGGAGAGTTACGTGAATGTATACCGTAAAAGTTTACTCCATAGTTCAGTGGGTCGTCGGGGTCGAGGTGTGTCGTGTAATGCAATCTTGTTGCACAAAGTGCCAGCAAAATAACAGAGAAGACGAACTATGCCATCGCAAGAACAGGGGTTAGTACTTACCATTTACAAGCACGATGAAACTCACCAGGAGACAATATAGAAATACCCGGATGATGTGAATAGAAAGAGGCATTTGCAGATAAGTACGCTGACTGAAGGCTTCCTTAAGTTATTACTGGTTCGACGAGACTGCGAGTGAAGATGCTGGCCAGGAAGATCCTAAGCAAGGGCTTTTAACGCCAAAGCATGTTCGAGAAACATGAGGCAGCAATGACATTGCCTCGTCATTGTCGCTCATGAAAATCATGCGTTGTAGAACTGGGCTTATGTTGTTGGTCCCAGTGTGCATGGCGTACTTACTACTGGTTGCCTCATGGGTGCTGGTAGGTGCTGGCGCACAATGCCGAGGGTTTGAAACTCCGGACGTATATAACACCGGAGATTAGATTAACTGGCTGACGCTTCATTTTGATGTGCATGTTATCCTCATGCCTCCAATATCCAATAGTCTTCTAGTTCTGATAACGCTTTGGATACACAATTGTGATATTTTCGCTGCGATTTCTCAAGACCCTATGCCGCGACGAAAATAGTGTTCATTTTGATCTGCATTGTGTTTTCTCGAGACCAGCATGTGCATTACAGCTTTTCTGACGCTAAAAAACCTCGAGTTATTATTGATTTTATCTCGTTTTCATTGAGCTAATCAGCGGCTTGCATTAGTTGTAGATCACACCGCGGCTGTCCGTATCAATCGAGCAGCAACCTGCACTCTTCAGCATTTTATCTCGTCAGGGAGGGTCACCTCTGTATCCACGAGTACTCTCAGCCTGGTATGCACAACATGCTATTGCTATCTATCACTGCCAAACACAGCGTATGGGGCACTGTTTATTTATGCTGCCTCTTATCCGACGACTCGAGGTGATTGATGACAACCCTCGACCACGATGTTTGCAGCGAGGATGAAGACATTTATTCTGCGCCTCGGTGTCCGTAACACTTTGCTTCTCTCCTTTTTGGCGTGCCACGGAACTTTCAGGCGTAGCTACATCCATTAGATTTGTCTCATACACTCCTTCGGGGAGGAATGTACAGTAACAACATTTTCATTCGACCGTGGAATTTTCTGGCGCTACCAGCCTGTTATGCTCCAAAAACTGGTTAATAATCGCAGCCTGAGTGAATGGTCCACTGAATGCCCAGTCTGCGTTCCCAGTAATGAAGTAACCTGGCTGTTCAACGCTCAGTACTCAGCTGTTCAGATCGGTTTGACATATCCCACACGCAAGGCCCGTTGACATACGATTTCCGGAGAGTCGGGATCCAGCTATTGTCGGGGCTTTGAAGAGAGGACATCCGTTGCGCATGCATTCCAACCAGGTACAATTTCGTGTGGTGGGAGGTCGTAGCATCGGAGTCTTGCCGTCAGGGCTATCTTAGCCAGCTATGCAAGTAGTAAGTCACGATGTTGCGTCGGAGGAGGATTAGCCACTGATCCGCGGAGAGCGACATTTGGTTTACAGGAACGAAGGTGATCTAAAGAACCCAGTGGCACAAAATAGGTCTTATAAGGCACTGCGTGAAGGAATCTGCCAACGGACATTTCCCTTAATGTCTACTTTCAAGTATATCGTTCTGGACGGGTGCATGGAACAGCGTCAGAGTACATATTTTTGAAAGTGGCTCGCTGTCTTTCTCACACCTGAATGGAGGCGGAACAATTTCGTCCCGGAAGAGAAGCGCACGGGCCCCTATTACCCAAGCTCCTTCCATCTAGCTTCACTCCCAGTCGTTTTCAACGACAGAGGTGTAAATGGTAACGGCCTAACAGTTACCAGCTTTTCAACCAGTATGGAGATGCATCTATTCTAATATAAAATCACCTTGGCGCACTATATGTGTTTCCTCTAACACATTTGGCAAATCGCTTTATGTCGACTGCTTTCTTATACTAAGGCAAGACAGGAGTTCCCAAGAAACGACATTCATGTGGGTATTTTTGCTGTCCTATGTGGTCGAATTTCTTTTCTGGTCTAGATACCAAGCTGGGAGGATACCAATCCTCTGCCCGACATGCCTTCGATTAACGGCAGCCACTTCAACACTGGTAAGTTCTCTTATGCTGACTCCGCTCTCTGTGCCCCTATTCAGAACTCGCCAAATCCTTCCTTCTCTTACCCTAGAATTTCTGGCACTTGCACGTACTCCCTCGGTCTGCTTTTGACAGTACTGCTTAAGCGCGGACAGCATGCGGTAGCCCCAGTCGATATCTTGTTGCGGATCCCTTCCTTTTGGGAAACATTCAGAGACAGGTAACATCTCTGTACGTTGAAGAATATTGTTAGCGTCGCGGTAGCCAACGAATATCTCGTTTATGCCGATTAAATGTGACTGCATAAACCACTTCCGGCGGTTTCTTAATTTCCCTGTACTGAAAAGCAGTCGCATGATGTTAAATTGGACTGTTAACCAGATAGGACGAGTCGACTAACTTTCCGTCATACTCCTTTGTCAATTTCAACTCCAAGAAGCAGTCAGGTTGTCCAGTGTAACTACCTGGGTGCAGATAAATTTCAGCTGTTACGATAAATGCCCTATAGTATTATGAGCTCACCTTTGATACAGTCCACCTCTCCTCCAAAAAGCAAATTGAGGTCTCCTAAAGTACGTGTAATAATACTGACCCACAGCTCATCAGCGCTGATGTTTAGAACGGAATTATCCCCTTCGGATCTAGTCTCGGGTGGCGTTGTGCAGATATGCTCAAATACATAGCTGATTATATGATGAGGTCTATATATCAGCGACAGGCTAAAAGGATGTACAAGCATTGTGACGTACCCTGGATAACTTTCTGGAGTATGCCTGGAAACCACAATAGGTGGGCTGGTAAAACTTGTCTAGTGTAGAAATAAATAAATAAATGACGCACTTCCGCGATTTTTCCTGATGGTCTTCAATATATAATGTGCCATCTATGTAAGACACGTTGAGATCGACGCTAAAACCAAGCATCATCCTGAGAAGTAGACATTTCAAACATCTAAGCGTTACTTTCAACAAATCATTGAAACCTCTCACTTGTATAGTATCCCTCGCCACGTCACCACATCCGCTGAAGATATTTCATCTGGGCGGTCCAAGCAAGCACGCAGGAGACTGTCCAGGGGCGTCTTTACATGCCCTCCCAAGTGTCGTAGTAAGAACTGTGGGAATCCCTGGGACATGTCCGTGCCGAGCGAAGGATACATAAAGTAGCGCAGGGATCGACCGTCCTGAGTCACGCTCCCGTCAGCGGCAGAGGAATAGCAGGATATTTGCTTTGGGGGACCTAGAAGGGCAGGCAGTTGACAGGAAGGGTTGGTTGCGTCCGAACGTTTGATGAGATGGAGTGGTGAACTCGAATCCATGTCCATCCAATGTTCGGGGGTAATGTTGTTCACTTACAAGCTGGACGTTTAGCTGTAGTGCTATATAAGAGTTTCAGAATGCGTAAATCTAATCACAAAGGATTCTCGATCTGCTCTAGGGGGCCTGGTTGTTCTTAGTTGGATCGCTCTCAGGATGAACGGACTTCTTAAAGTGATACTCGTGAGTCAGCTTCTACAAGAGAGGAACCATGATACTAGCAGGCGTTATGTGTCTGATCTGGGGCGTTACCACCGCGGTAATACATGATTGTACAGAGAGACCCTATGGCAGGGTAAGAGCAGCTGCTATGGAATAGAAATTACCAGATTTATTCTAGTGTCTTTCTCTACTCCCTAAAGATGTGGAAAGGAGTAGTCAAATAGTCACACCACTTCCAGTCAACTTTCAACACACCAAGACGTACTTCGGCTTCTCGCCCAAGCACAACACATCTTTATACGTATACGTATCTTTTTTGAACGGTGCTGAGGCGGCCGCCAACATGACTACAGCATTTCATGACGCCATATCCTTTTCGACTCGACGATAAGAGATATTGACGTCTTTCATCCAGTTCAACGGTCTTGTTTGTAAATATCGGCATTGGAAGACGTCGGCAAAGAGTAGGACGTGTAAGATACCTTGGTATGTCACCGGCGATGTACGATTTTATCGGATACCAGGATAAGATATTTAGCTGGCTATGCGCATCGATTTTGTTTCTAGACAGAAATTTTATATTTTGAATTGATTGCGGTGAATGTCATATATGCAGATATATACACCGCAAATAAATCCATTTCGTACGAGCACTATAAATCATCATGATCAGTACCCAGCGTGCAGGCAAGAGAAGGAAGCAGTGTGGTATACCTTAACTTCTAGCCTGACATTTTCAGGCCTGATCAACATTAGACACTGCGCTACCTGACGCAGGACTGGTCGTGCATCCCCGTCCTGAACAGAGTTGGGGGCAAATTGAATAGATCTAGAGAGTTGATTTAGCGATATATCACTGTGCTTATCAACAGAGCGTAAGTGAAGAATGATACGGCATGACAAAATGCTATGTAAGGTGTACCATAACCTAAGATAGGGAATTCCCTTCGTCGGAGCTATTCAGGTGAATACATGCCCAGGCGAGTAACATACCGCGTGGGTAAATCTTTCAAGATAGGCTAGAAAGAATGACTTTGAGCTCGTCAACTACCAATGGTAAGATTGCGCGTGCAGGGAAAGTGGCTATGGAGATTAGTTGGATGACTATGAGGACTAGACATATGTGAGCACCACATCTTGACTGAGCAAGATCTATGAACTCACCTAAAATGAAGAAGTAAAAAATAATGCAATCGTTGTATAGCGTTTTCACTAGACGACTTCTGTTGCGGCGGGAGCCCCTGATCACGCGGTAAATCAAAAGGCACAAGAGTACTGTACACATAAAACATGTTGAATGATGATCTTGGTAGAGGAATGACAAAACCGGATAAACCCGGTCTCTGCCAAAGCAGCCATTGTTCTCCATGGAGCATAGCCACCACTCCATGGAGTAACCATTGTTCTCCTAGGAGTCATTATACTGTAGCGAGTAGCACCTCCGACTATAAGTAGTAGGGGGTTTAGTATAGGAATACCTCAGTTGTTTCTATAGCCTCTTGGGCAGCGGCTGAGGTATGTTACATTACATT